ATCTCCCAATTTCTCTCAGCTGGCAGCTTTTACTGCAACTGATTTTCATGTAAAGAGGGAAAACTGGCCTACTGCTGGTAGACTGTCCTCTTAGGTGGTTAGTGATCCATCTACAGTGAGAGTCAGGCCCCTAGACTCCATTCCGTGCTAATGAGCACAACACACTGGGAAGGAGCTCCTGGCTGCAGTGGAACACAAGATACCACAAATAAGAACAATCTCTTCTGGGGATTTGAAAGAAATGTTCTGTTCTATCTGGAAGCATCCTTGGTATATGTAGCACCCTCACCCGTTATCACCCGGCTGTGGAGTGCTGCCCCCTTCTGGTCAGCACTGGGCTGTGGCGTACTGCCCTCTTCTGGTTTGTCACTGATGCTGGAGCTGATCCTTGGCCTATCCTCTGCAGCTGGAAGTTAGATGCTTTTCCATGAAATAAGATGCATCTGTCTCCTCAGGCTCAGAGCACCTATGGGTTTGAAAAGACAGAACTGCAGTCTATCTATCATCTACGTATGTATGTATGCAACCATCCATCACCTATGTATCTATGAATCATCTATGTACCTATCTATCTATCTATCTGACAGGATCTCACTATATAGATCAGGCTAGCCTTAAACTCAAGAGTTCCACTTGTCCCTGCCTCTAGAGTTTTGTGATTAAAGGTGTACACCAAGATATTGGGCTAAATTAGTATCTTTTAAAAAAGCAATGATGCTTTCAAAAAGATCTTTTTTGGGGGGAGGTGGGTGGGCAGGTGTGGTGGCACAGGCCTTTAATCCAAGCACTTGAGGCAGAGGCAGGCTGATTTCTGTTGAGTTCCAGTCTGCCAGCCTAGTCTACATAGTAAGTTCTAGGAAGTGATACTCTCTCAAAGCAAACAAACAAAAAACCTGGTAGAATTTCAGAGAATCCATGTAGGCATGGGTTAAATAAAATGAAAAACAAATTGTGTATGTGCCAGTGTGAGGGTATGCCACATATGTAGTTACCTGAGGAGGGCAGAAGAGGACATCAGATCCCCTGGGACTGGAGTTACAGGCAGTTGTGAGCCACCCACATGTCTACTGGGAATGGAATCATGGTCCTCTCAAGAGCAGTATGTGTCTTAACTGCCCAGCTACCATTCCAGCCCCTGAACAATGAGGTTTGATGCTTTGAATTTCAGCTGCAGTTGGACTTTTTTCCATGTACACTAATTGACAGGATACAATTTTTTTTTCAAATTAACGCTAGGGATCCAACTCAAACTCAAGGTGCATGTAAGCCATGTGCTCTTGTCACCCACACATTTGTAGTGAGGTGATGGTAACAGAACACTTGTCACTCAGTATTCTGTTGACAGGGGGGCAGCGAGGGGAGAGGTGGACTTATCTGGAGAATTAGAGGGAAAAGAGGAAAAGATGGAGCCTGGATCAGTGCAGCTGTGTTTGGAGCTGTGGATGATGCCGGTATGACTGGAAGGTTGCAAGGGTGGGCTGGAAGGTAAAACATACATGCTAAAAGTTTCTTGAAAGACACAGAGGTCAGATGTTTCTTTTTTGAGTTCTGTGTTGGCTGCCAAGCCTGCTGACCTGAGTATGATCTCTGGAGCCTATACGGTAGGAGAGAGCTGACTCCCACAAGATGTCCCCTAACTTCCACACACGTAGCATGGACAATAACTCCCCCCCCATAAATACATAAATGTTAAAAAATAAAAACAAGTACAAGGAAGCCTCAGTGACTGAATCCTCACCAGTATACTCTGTTCATATGCTGGTCCCTGAACAAAGTGGGAAAGTTAGACCAGTGGTCTCTGGGGCCTTAGAAGCAGGTTATCCTTCTGTTTTGGTTTGCGTCCCAGTCCATGGGAACAGTCCATCAGATTCTCAGGGAAGACTTCTGGGAACCTCTAATCCCAGCAAATCCAAATTGAAACATTAATGTGATTTATTGCAGTGGATGATCTTTTCAAGGAAGCGGGCATCGAACCAAACGGCCAAGTGAAATATGACACATTTATCCAAAGGATCACCCTTCCTGTGCAAGACTACTGAGGGAGCTGACATCCAGGGAGTAGAATATGAGAGCTCCAGGGCTTGAAAACCTAAACTGATTTATCTGGAGATGGCAAACCTGACAATCAGACCAGATGGCACAACATTTGCAGGGGATAAGTACCAATAAATGATGTAGTCATGGTATTACATGCTGTAATGAGAGGTCTGTATTGATTTTAGTTCTAACATTAGTCTAGCCCTTTGCAGCACAGAAGGACCTATGATTTGTAGTCAGGTTTGTGTACCAGTGCTGACTCTGCAACTTCATTACCCTCACCTTGGGCAGACCACTGTGCTTTTCAAAGCCTTTGGATCTCACAAGGATGAAGATCACGACTTGAAAATGGTTGGCAATTTGGGAGCATGTAGAACTGGCATTTATCCATGGTAGCATTTCTCCAAAAGAACAGTTTGCCAGAAGACCAGCCTGCTTTTGGGTGCAAGAACCACCTTCGGCATTTCTAAGATAAGGCTAGGGTTGGCTAGGAACTGGCAATAAGCAGAGTGCATGTACCTGCATGCATAGCGAACAATGAGCTCAGAGCACAGACAGACAGACACACAGAGTGACAAGCAGTGTGTGTACACAGACACAAAGCAACAAGCACAAAGGCACACCATTTCTTATAGTTTTACAATCCCACTGATAAACCCTCATTTCCATATGACCAGCTACAGGAAGTGCAGGGCACTCATTCATAAACAGGTACAAAGTGGAAACACATATTAGAGTGAATGGTAAGTGTAGGATCAGTTGAGCAGTGGGAAGTGGTCTAACTTTACATTCCACACCAAAGGAAGTGGGAGGTCTGGTCCCTTCAGAGGCCTTGCAGAGTTAGGAAGGCGTGATGTTCCTGGAAGAATTTTCTGAAGCTGTGCCCTGGTACTCAAGTGATAGGGGGAATCATGACTTTAAGCCACTTTCTTGGGACTAAAAGAATAAGGGGATATCCCAGGCCATGTCCAGAATCTGAGAGGCCCTGAAATCAGTAGCAGGAACCAGTGCCTCACTCAGAAGTCCCTATGTGACACAAATAGATTGGGTGCAGACCTGTGAACATGAAGACCTTCATTCCTTTGCGCCAGGACCGGCTGTGGCTTTGCTCCTTAGTGAAGGCAGAAAGACATCAAGACACAGCGTCTCTTGGGAAGTTTGATGAGACACACACCTTTTACTAAGGGCTAAGCTCTGGGAACAGTCCAGGGGACCAAACAGTGGTAGTCTTAATTCTGTTAGCTCACATACGCTGTACGGCTCAAACTAGACAGAAGAATGGAGAAAGAACGGCCTCATTTTCCTGAGAGTGGATACTATGTGTTCCCTGAGTAGATTGATTATAGGCAATCCGGCAGATTTCTTTAATACAAAAAACAGGGATATTAGTGGCACATCCCTTCAAAGAGGATTTTGGTTTGTGGCCAACATGATATTAAAGCAAAAGTCTGAGCCGGGCGTTGGTGGCGCACGCCTTTAATCCCAGCACTCGGGAGGCAGAGGCAGGTGGATCTCTGTGAGTTCGAGACCAGCCTGGACTACCGAGCGAGTTCCAGGACAGCCTCCAAAGCCACAGAGAAACCCTGTCTGGAAAAACCAAAAAAAAAAAAAAAAAAAAAAAAATGCTAGGGAACCGGAAAGAAGCCAGAGAAAGCAAGAGCAACACATGGTAAAATTCTTCATGACTCCCATGGCAAATCCTCCTGGGGGAGGCTAGACCTCCAAAGAGAAGGCTGTATTTCCTTACCAGATGGGAAGGGTCCAGACCCAACACTTCTGCTCACCAGTCTACAACACCAAATACCTGACAGGTGCTCCTTGCTGATGCTCTATGTGGGACAGGGTGAGGACAGCCTGGATGCCTATAGAAGAGGTACTTCCCCAATGTGTTCCGATGTCTGTTGGCTTCCCTTTCCTTCTCCCCGCCCCCCTTTAAGACAGGGTCTCATGTATCCCAAATTTATCTCAAATTTGTGAAGGATGCCCTTGACCTTCTGATTCTCCTGCCTTCAGCTCCTGAGTGCTAAGATCACAGGTGTACACTACTATGCCTCTTTTATTTGCTGCTGGAGATTGAGTTCAGTGCTTCCAGCATGCCAGGCAAGCACTGTCAAATACCTCCAGCCTTCCAGTGTAGCCCTGACCCATGGCTTTTTTTGAGAAAGTGTTTCAATGTAGACAGGGTCTCTGTGTAGGCCAAGCTGGCCTCAAACCCAGAGATTTGCCTGCCTCTGCCTCCCAAGTGTTGGGATTAAAGGTGTGCTCCACCATGTCCTACCCTCGGTGTAGTTTCAAAGCATGTTTTTCTGAATCTTATTTGGCTGAGTGAAATCTCCAGTACGGCTTGCAAAGAACACATGGCTAAAGGGTAGTCTGTATAACCTGGGCTGCCCTTCCCCACCCCCTGCTCTAGTGATGGTGGCAAAGTGAGCTCAAACTCCCTGAAGTCCAATTTACAGTCACATCAGGAAAGGCTGTTGCTTCAGGGTCCCCACTTGTGCATTCCTCAAATTCCAACAAGTTTACCTAGCACCCAGTTGCTCACCATAGAGTGGAGGAGCCCAGGCGTTTGGACAGCAGACAGACAAGTACCTTTAAGGGGGCTGGAGAGGTGGCTCAGAGGTTAAGAGCACTGACTACTCTTCCAGAGGTCCTGAGATCAACTCCCAGCAACCACATGGGGCTCACAGTCATCTATAATGATCTGGTGCCCTCTTCTGATATGCAGGCAGAGCAGTGTATACATGATAAATAAATCTTAAAGATTTAAGGTACTGTGGTTCACTACAGAGCTACATGTATCCCAGTAAGAGCAACCTCAAAGCATGATGTAGAGGTATCAGTTACATGTCATGCTTTGAAATCTCTGGCTTGACAAGGCCTTGGGACTATACTGCACCAGCACTTTTCTTATGGGTACTGTTCCCCTATAGACCCAATAGTAGTATTTTACAGAACACGAATTAACTGAAGGCTTTTCTTTTATTACATCTAAAGAGCTCTACATAAACAGGTAACATTCAATAGGGAAACAACTTTTCTCCAATGCATGTAATAAATATTTTCACTTGGTACTTTTATACAAACTAACATTGGTCTACTATACAGTTTTAAAAGCCATTTTACTGGTTTGGCATGCGGTATGGAAATTCTAAGAGAAAGTTTTAAGGCAATGAATCACAGATTTAAGTTCATGGAATTCATGGTAATTTTTATCTATTTATATACATTTCCCCTTTGTTAATAAAACAACAGCAGCACATTCTGGGACCACCAGCTATTCTGCCCCCTCTTTGAAATCTACACTGTGTTTAATTAAAAAAAAAAAACAGAATGCAATATTGTGTGTCCATAAAACAAAATTCTTACTAAAATAAATTCAAATGTGCTTTTAAGAGTCCTGAAGATCCTGAAAGTTTTATGTATTTAAAATTCAAATTGCTTTAAAAACTAGGTTCTGTCTACATTTATTCATTTACAATTGGGGTATATTTTCATTCCGTTTCACACATTTGTCCTCAAAGGAAAATTGGCCAAAACACTCCCCACATTTTTCAAGACTTAAGTGATTATTTAAGTCAGTAATGTAGATGTATATTTAAATTAGCAATGGAAAAACTTTAATACAATGAACTGGTCAACCAAGTATGATAGGTTAAGTTTCATCTTTAAAAAATGTGTCCAGTAATGCCCACGTAGTAAATTAAAAGCCACCTCCACCCTGCTAGTTGAACCTACTTTATCGACGATGTGTGCTCACAGATACAGGGGCACACACAGCACTGTATAGAGCACACGTGTGCATGCTAGAAAGAAAAAGGCAAGGGGTCCTGGAAACGTGCTCAAAGACGCTGAGAACAGTGGTTGTCCATGGTCTATCAAGGTTGGCAGGGCATGGAGTGAGGGTGGGCTAAGGAAAAACAACAAAAGGAGATGGAGTGGCCATGCGCTGCTCTTGTAAATGTCAGATACAGTAGTGCATGACTAGAAGTATTAAGGGTTGTGAAAGTCTCTGACTGAACTTAACCACATGCAATGTTTAGAAAGTCAACAATTGAAGAAATGATCTCTTCACTATGTGGAAGGAACTAAAATATACAGACAACTAAAGGTTTGTTCTCCCATGAGGACATGACCAAAGTCACAGAACATATATTTCTTCCTGTTACCCATTCTCCCCTTAGATCGGTACAGTGCAGGACACCAAAGGAAAGTGACCCTTCCACTTGGGCTGAAGAATGAAGAGGGCTGGGTTTTCAACTGGATTGATCATTCTAAATTCGTAATTCAGCATCAGACATAAAAACTGATCAGATGCCTAAAACCAAGTTAAAAAAAATCCAAGAACAAGGAAAACTATTCATTTTACCTTAGATAGCTGAAATAATAAAAATGTTTCCTACTGCAATGTTAACAGAAACACCCACAATTTCAGTGATTCCTACTCTAACCCCAATTTAGACACAAATTAAGACCTTATCTGAAACAAGCCTAAATTAATACAGCAATGAAAAAAACAACCATGTTACTCACCACACCAGATGAATTTAACAACGTAACCATTTCTGGTTTGAACTGACAACAAATGCCTTGTTTTATTGCGGATTGTTTTGTGACTCTAACACAGCTGTTTCTGTGTGGAACACACATGCGCAGGGGAAGACGATGTTACACACACACACACACACACACACACTCTTGTTTATAAATACACATATACACACATACATATACATATCAACACCGACTTTTTTCAAAATTCAAGTTGACAGTTTAGTAGCAGAGATGCTATAAAAAACAGCTATCATTTTTTAGATGCCATACTGTCATATGAATCATTTACTTTATATCATACAACTGAAGATACAGCCATCTTGACTTCTACCTGGATCAATATAGGTCCTTCTGTTACTGATGCAAGGTTTGAAAACAAGTTTAATATACACAAAGGGGGCCCTTCACCTCTGAGAACACAAGGCTGTAACATAAAACCAGGCTGGGAACTGGTGATGGTGTCCCCCTTCCTCTCTGTGATGACCCTGTGCCCTCCATCAGCTGCCATCTAACTTCCGGTGTATGAGCACTGTGTCTTTTCTGATGACTTTGAATGAGAGTACTTTCTCTTTCCTTTGATCTTTAATCATCTCCTGAAGAAATCTTAGTATATTTACATATTCTGTTATTGAGAGTAGATAAGACCGACTGATTCTTGAATTAAAAAATGGCTTCCTATGTTATGCTTGTCATTAAAAGGTGAGTAAAAAATAAGCAAGGCTAAGAAAGGAAGTATACTCAGAACCAGTGAAGCAAATAACTAAGGTTGTTTTTGAGTTTCAAACTTTTATCAAACAGATTTGCTATGGACCCACAAGTGAGCTGCACTGTACTGTCAACTTTAGGGTAATTGACTTCTTTGTTGAAGTGGAACAATGTCCTCTGCCAGCTGCACATGGGGCTTCCAAGACTCTTTCATATCTCACTTTGGTATGAAGATTCTCAGGAGAACTCATTACCCTGTGGCCAAAATGCAAGGGCTCACAGACTTGGTTTACATACAAAATACTGGCAATTCAGATTCAGAGTCAACACAAGTGTGCTGTTGATTACAGGCCTGCCCTCAGGCTGCCTATCCAGGCAGCTTTTGCTCCAGCACTTCTAGGAAACACACTCTTGGGGGTACACAGCAGATCATAGACAACCTGTGATGGAGAACATGCATTGGGAGAGCTGAGAAAGATGCTCACATCAGAGTTCAAGGCCTCTGAAACACTTTGAGAGAAGCAGGCAACTGATATTAACTAAATGCCAACTCAGGAGGAGAGGGGACAGTGATGACAGAACAATACACACAGGCACACACCGAAAACACACATACCCACGAGCTATGTACTGAAAACAAAGGGAATGCAGTGGGACAGGTGAGATTTATAACTTAAGGCTGGTAAAATCCACGCATACACAAACAGAATCCAAGTCTGTTACTTTTAAAAAATGGAAATCAAAACTATCCCAACCCCCTCCCCACAACAAAGCCCACAATTTAAAACTTCATACATGCAATTCTGTTTCTGTTATTGCAAGTAAGATAATGCCATTGAAGTAAAATAAAACCCAAACCATAGGACAAATGGTGAAGTCTTCAGAATCCAGAAAAAATGAACTGAAGGAGGTTTGTGGGTGCTTGTTTTTCTTTTCTTTCCTTCCTTTTTTTTTAAACAAGTATTTTATCAGACAGGCAGTCTTAGATTTATATACAAAAGTAAAACTGAAAATATAGTTTTGTTCTCTGTACATTTCTTTTAATTTTTTTCCCTAAAAAAAGGAAAAAAAAAACCCACGCTTGTGTACTTTTCTAAACAGGATAAGGTAAAACAGAGCACAGAGTTCTCTTCTGCCAAGTCATTGAATCTGGGACAGGGTGGGAGCAGCAGGGTGAGGGCGTCAGTCCAACGAGATAATGTCTGGTATGATGCCAAAGATGGACGCCGTGTCCGCGCTGCTCCTGCTAGCCACGCCATGGCCATGGCTCTCCCTCAGACTGTTGGAAGACACAAGGCTGCTGTTGCTGCCACTACTGCTTCCGTTGGTGGCTGGCAAAGAAGTGCTTCCTCCAGCACTTAGCTGATCGAGAAACATCTGCGAGGAGGTATACGGGAAAAAGCGGGAGGAGTGCAGGAGGTCCTGGTCATCTGAGACTGCCGCTGCTGCAGCAGCAAGCAGGGAGGTGTTGTAATGCTAGGAGGGACCAGAGACAAAACACTCTCGTTACAATCAGATGCACCTCTGTACTCTTCTCAGCAGAGCAAGTCCCAAGTTAGCATATCCCGAGTGTCTGGCTCCTCAAGTGACAACACATTCTGCAGTGAAATGACTGGTCACTGATACTGAGAGCGTTTTGGCATGGTATCGAAACTGGAATAACATTTTTGATTGTGTTGTGTGTGTGTTGTATGCAGTTCTTAAAATTCTATTTCTGAGATGTTCAGAAGCAGCAGAGAGGGAGGCAGCTGCCCCTCTCCTCAAGACACACCCCTCACTCCCACTGACAAGTTCATCCTGAGAACTGCATCACGAAGAAGCTCTGTTGCTCTCACGCCCAGGCTGCGGCTCTGTGCAGCATGTCACTGCTGTCAGCACTACAGGCACTAGGCACAGTGTTTGTGCACACGAGCATGTCAGGACTGGAAAAGTCAGGGAGAACTTGCTGTAAAAGATAAGCAATGTCACACGTGTGTGGGGCACTCCCCAGAGTGGAGTGTGTGGGGTTGCAAGTCTCTCTGGGTCAGGGACTGCTGCTGAGTGGCTGAGGACATTACCTACAGGCTACTATGGGATTTACCAACACTCTATGCTTAGGTTACTCCACATTTACTAAAAAACAAAACAAAACAAAAAACCCCGAAGTTTGCCTTTTCTTTAATTAACTACAGTTACATAACAATTTTAGTTTTTAAATTTTTCACTTTTTAAAGATTTTATAACATTATATAATTATACAAAATAATGGGTTTCATTATAACACTTACACATGTACATAGTGTCTTTTGATCATAATTACCCTCTACTACTTTTTCCTATTCCTCTCTCCTTAGCTGATCCCCTCCTCTTCTCAACAGTCTACTTCCAATGTGTGTGTCCCAGTGTGTTACTCAGTGCTGCTTACAGAACACAGACAACTTACCAATGGCTAACCACTGAAGAAACAACATCGCCCCCACTAAACATTCACTGCCTACAGATCTTCAGAGAGGCTGGCGACCCCTAAGCCCTCCCAACTACTTTATTCTTTATAATAATATTTAAAACATGAATAGACCTTATGGCTGTGCAAAAACATTCTTTCATCATATCTCTACCCTATGACACCTAATTATGTATTTTGCTAAAAAAAAGTAAGGCAAAAATATACATTCACTCCTAGGTCTACATAGGTCAGGGGTAAGTATCACTGTCTTCTAGGCACATCTTGTTTTCTGGAAGGTTTTCAGGTCACAGGGATGATGCTTGCTTCTGGATCCCTTCTGATGACCCACTAGAGCTCATCCTAACCAGATGCCATTCTTTAGAAACACGCTGTGGTGTTTTGCTTGGTCTGATCCTTTCCATCTGAGATGCGCTTGTGAACAGTGCACAACAAACATTCCCTTCTCTGAAGTTCATGTTCTCAGGCATCTCAAGGGGATTGCTGATGTCTGCAGAAGTTTTGGTAGCTCCTTTATGAAACTCTTGAGGGCTCCTTCTGTCTCCTGCAGTTCCCCTTTCTCTTGCCTGCTTTTCAGTTCCAAGGCTTCCACAGGTTTCCTTAGGAATCTCTGTGGGGCTCTTCAGTGTTCACACATGCATACTATCTTGGAGTTACTTGCCACAACTACATTATTGCTTTGCAACCTCCTCACCAAAGGCAAATCCCCTGCAATTAGTAGTAATCTCTGGAGTGTTTCCTCCAGATGCCATCAGCTCTGTTATGTCATCCCAAGCTGAAACAAGACTGTGGCACAGCACTGGTGCTGCCCTCCATCACACTCAAGGCATGTCTCCTCAGTGTTCCTGTTGCAGTAGCAGCCTGGACAAAGTCCTACTCAGCCAATGGGCCTCACAGGCCACTAAATCTCCTTGATCAGCAAGTAAGACGCCGAGTAGACAAAGGTGCTTGCTGAATAGCTGGTACTTGAGTTCAATGGCTGCACCCCATACAGAGGTGGAGAGAATTGAATCAATACAGCGCTCCTTTGACTTTCAAGCACATGCTGTGTCACATATATACACCTATGCATACAGCAGTAATAAAAAATTAAAAAAAAATATATACAGAGAAGGGCCAAGGAAAAGCTAAAGGAGGGAAAGGGATGGGTCAAAATAATGTAAATATAGTATACTCATGTATGAAATTCTCAAAAAAAAAAAAACAAAAACTCCTTGATCTATTTCTACTAATTGGGTCAGAGACATGGTGCTGGAACAAGAACACCACTGTGGCACTGGAATGAAGGAGGATGTACAACGTGCACCAATGAACAACATTTTGCAAAGTTTGCTGATCTCCAATAAGTGCTCTAGCTTGCTGGCAGGAAACTCGGGCAGGCTTCTGAACAGCGGCTGGATCACTGCTTTGGCAATGATAGATAGCCACGGTACTGAGCGGGATGTGCTTCTGCATCCTGCCCTTAATCCACGTTCTTAATTATTTCTCTATGGCTGAAGTGGGTCTTTCTCAATCTGTGTTTATCTCATTGTTTTTGATGAAACTTCTGTTACTTTGTTCTTGCTCTTCAAGTCTGCAGCTCTAGTGCAATGGGGCAGCCTGACTGGCGTGTAATAATCACTGACTTTCTCCATCCAAACTTGATGACTTTTAATTTTATTTCCAGGTCGCTAGATGTGGCCTTTTGGCAACTGATTTTGTATGTTTAGGGTCTGAGATGAATAAAGCAACATGAGCTCGAGACAAACACAGGAGCAGAGGAAGCACTCAAAGCTGCAGTAAACACAGTGTGAGGAAGCACAGCACACTGTGTAACTGAAAACCAACAGTCATTCTAGTGTTATGGACTACACGCAACTGTAGGATTTACACATACCATTGGCAATGCAGTTGCACCAAAGACTGTAACAGCTATGATGTCCTGGGCACCAGGACACTCACACACATGTGGCTAAGACTGAAATCTATCAGCCACATAGCTCACTGCCCTGTGTCTTTATACGCAGTCTGAGAAATCAACAGGCAGACACTGCTTTTATTTTCTACTAGAGGTAGAAGGTGGTGATGAATGATGGCTTTTATTTAAATTATTACAGCCAGAGCAAGTCTGACCACAGGTACTCCACTTTCCAAGGAAATTTATTCTTTCTTCTGGCTATGTACTATACTTTTAGATATTTTAATATACAATTAAAGAAATACTATTTTCACATTAACTTACCTGATTGTCTCCTGATAAGAAAGGAAAGAAATCTAATCCTGTGGAAAGAATAAAATAACTTAGCTTAGAGGCAAACAACAAACAAATGAATGAACAAACAAAACAGAAAAGCAACCTTTCTAAATATTCCAGCACTTTCACTCTATGCACTCTGGATTCATATTTAAACACAAGGAATGCTGGACATATGGTGAATACCTCTGATCCCAGCATTTACAAGATGCAGGGGGAAGTAGACCTTTATGAGTTAGAGGCTAGCCTGGTCTACACAGAAACTTCCAGGGCAGCTAAGGTGACATCAAATACTTGCTTTTACTGATTCCTCACAAGAACACATTTATTTAGACAGAATCTCATGTGTTGCAGGATGGCCACAACATATATTGACTTTGAACTTCTCTTTTTTTGGCAGTGTGTGTGTTGGTTTTTCAAGAAAGACTTTCTTTGTGTTACAGAGCCCTGGCTGTTCTGGAACTCGACTTGTAGACCAGGCTGGCCTCAAACTCACAGAGATCCACCTGCCTCTTCCTCCCAGGTGCTGGGATTAAAGGTGTGCACCACCATGTGTGGCTTGATTTTGAACCTTTTTTTTTTTAATTCAAAGTGATTTTATTGCTTGTGTACACAAGAGAATTTATGTCACTAGAGCAGAAGCTGTGGATGACTCATACTACCAATTTGGTGGAAGGACCCGCTTACTCTTATAGCAATGAGCCAGTCGGTGAATTCTGCTTGAAATTAACCATGTCTTCACCTGAGTGCTAGGATTACAGGCACACATCACCATGTTCAGTTTATCTGCTTCAAATCAAACCCATTGCTTCATGCATACTCGGAAGCACTCTACACACTGAGCTATGTCCCTAGCCCTTAGATTTCAATCTAATTTACTCTACATGATTGCCTCTTAGGGTCTTTCATTACTTTTGGTTTGATTTTACACATGAAACTTTAAGAGGTCACACAAATTGTAGCAAAGCTTTTTATTCTCCTTCTCAAATGAGTTCATGTCCCATCATCTAGACCAGATTAAAACCCAAGTGTGACTGTATGGCCAGGCATGATGGTGCACACCTTTAATCACAGCATTTAGGAAGCAGGGACAGGTGGATCTGCTACACAAAGAAACCTTGTCTTTAAAAACAAGGGTCTAGTAGCATCACAGAAAAGCTCATCCATGATTCCTGGCTGCAGGCAGACCCTTCCAAACCCATATACTGTTTTACTCTACCCAACACTACATAACAAAGAACAAGAAACGCAAAGGCCTCATGCTGATGTCTAACCTTGAGGTACACAAGCAATGCCATATTTTGGCAACCACTTCTACCCACACCAGAAAAGACTACAATATGAGAACTTACAAAATCTGTCTCCATAGTGATGGATGTGTGCAAACAGCTAAGAAAGCTGTTTAGAAAACTGCCAGGAGTAACCAGCCTCTGGGAAGCTAAGTGACTAGTTCATAAGCCACTAAATTATAAAGATATACCCAGAGTTGAAATTCTTTTTGAGAAACAAATAAATTAGCATTTCAAACGTCTCTTAAAAAGGGTAAGTCTGGGCATGATGGTGCATACCTGCCAACGAACATCTGTGAGTTTGAGGTCAATCAGGACTACAGAGAAAGACCGTCTCAAAAAATAAGGAAAGAAAAAAGCAAATTTAAAAAATTCAAATGTGTCAATTCATCAGTATTACAGGGCTGGTAAGATATCTCAGTGGGTAATGGTGCTTGACACCAAAGCTAATGACCTGAGTTTGATCCTTAAAATCTACATAGTAGGAGGAGAGAATGAATTCCTACAGGCTGTCCTCTGATCTCCACATGTGTGCCATGGCACACAGCACCTCCACAATATGGTACAAGGCAGAGGCAGGAGAATGACAGCAAGTTCAAGGCCAGTTTGGTGAGTTTCAGGCCAATACCAGGGCTACATAGCAAGACCATGTTTCATAATACAACTAACTCAGATACACAAAGTATCTGTTACATGAAGCCATAGTCAAAGAATAAAAACCAGCATTTACCCCCACCAAACTAAAGGTCACAGGGAGGAAGTGTTCCAATAGCCTGTAGAATACTGGAAAGCTCACAACACCCCAAGACCACTGCAACGGATTCCCACAGCAGTGAGTGCTGGCTGCCGACAAAGGTGCCACCAAGACACTGGCCATTTTTTCTGGGATCCAAAGCCCGGTTTTCCCCATCTCAACTTCTTTCCTATATATCCCTCACCCCCAGACTGCAGCCACACAGAGCGAAGGCATTCCTCAGCCTGTGTGACAGCAAAGGACCAGAGACTCACCTTGTAAGTCATAAGGCATGGGTGTCATATGGAAAGGGTGCCTGTAGTCCTGGATGAGGGAAGTGTTGATGTAGCTTGTATCTACAGCAGGAAGGCTGGGGGTGCGGGACACAGGTGATGCTTGATGAGGAAGACTTAAAATACTGTGGAAAGAAATGTTTAGAAAATGTAATGTTCACAGTTTAACAAATGAAACTGTACCCCACAATGAGTCCCAATTTTTATGATTAAAAAAAATAACAACAAAACCAAACAAACAGAAAGCAAAACAAATGGTAAGAAATAACTGGGTATGCAGGAGCATTTGCAGAGGTCGGAAGGAGAATCAGACAGATGCAATGAAATCACTACTCATATTCCACACAGATCTCAGATCGCCATCCTTCACTCTAAGAATGCAGAAGCAAAGCATAGCTGAATCACTACAATAGGACATGAGTGCAATGTACCCACAACAAAGGAAATGATGGCCCTTTCAAAGTAGGTACTGAAGGGGTAGGTAGTGAGAAATCCAGGGATACTCTTTGTGCTCGATAGTTTTATGTCAACTTGACACAAGCTAAAATCATCTGAGAGGAGGTACCCTCAATTAAGAAAATGCCTCCATAAGACTGAGCTATAAGCAAGCCTGTAGGGCAAGGGCATTTTCTTAATTAGCGATTGATAAGAAAGCAAGCTAAGTAAGTCATGAGGAGCAAACCACTAAGCAGCACCCTCCATGACCTCTGCATTAGCTCCTCCCTCCAGGTTCCTGCCCTGTTTGAGTTCCTGTCCTGATTTCCTTCAATGATGAACAGTGATATATAGAAGTGTAAACCAAACAAACCCTTTCCTTCCCAACTTGTTTTTGTCATGGTGTTTCATCACAGCAACACAGACCCTAACTAAGACACCCTGGGCAGTAACTTTGGTTCACCCAATGTCTAGCTTGGCTATTGGTACAGTTTAAATAATGGGGCCTCTGACCCCAATCATAGCAGTGAGACAAGGCAAAGTATCCCAAAATGACACTGCACCTAGCTTACATGGTATCTGGGGATCTAAACTCAAGTCATCATGCTTGTACAGCAAGTACTTTACCCAATGAACCGCATCCTCAGCCCTAGCTTTTGCCTCTAATACTCTGCATGAAGTACTTGTAGGTAGGTGTACATTTTAACAGTACAGATTACTTCAAAAGACACCAATGTTAGATTTCCTGGAACAGAATCCTAATTATGAGTATGCACTACACTTTTCTGAGTGGGATAGTAAGCAAAAGACACTCTCAGGTGCTGCACAGAAGTGTTTATCCAATGGAAATGTAAATCCTTACACCTATAGAGAATGCCATGTTCCTTAGCTGTATGTGTCCTTTGTTTATGATCAGGAGACTGCTGGTCTTTACAAACATTCCTGTCTAGCAAACAGTATGGAACTTCTGGGTGAATGTAACACTGAGCAAGGCGCTGAAGGGCTTATTTCGTGGCTATGGGATGGCTGTCTATCCTTCAATTCTGTGACTGCTCCCAAGTTTATTTCCATATTACAATGCATTAGAGTGAACGATCTGTAGGGCTTAGTGTTCTGGGTAGTGTCTAGTTGCTGTTGTGAATACTCACAGTGCTACCTAATCATTCTTTTAAAGATGCTAGAGACACCCAGGTTTTATCTACATAGCCAAAGAGAAAGGTCTGGCATTTGCAGAGTTGTATCTAGGTATCATGGGTAAAAATCAGGGAAGTAGTTAAAGCAAGTAATGAAATTTTCCAAACATAACAAACAGAGCTATTTTGGGAAGAACTATAAAGTAAACATTCAAAGAAGAAACATTAGATTTCTAAAGATTCCAAAGTTTTCCTGAAGAAAAAAAAAAAAACCATACTCAGATAGGGAAACTACTAGAGTTTACATATGACTATTCTGAAGAGTAGAAAATTGCCATACAATTAACCCCAGAATACTATACACTTGTTTTAGAACGTATCTTTTAATTTTGCAATTATGACACAAAATATGACAATACAGTTTTCTCCTGATATCTGTGGGGACTGCTCTAGGACCCCTGCAGTTATCTAGATCTGAGGTCTTCCCCCACTCCATGTGCCATAGGATTTACACATCACCTAAGCATATCCTTTGGGTCTCTAGGTTCCTCAGAACACTTACTACATTGAAATTGTTATGGCAACTGTTCTTCTGTTTTGTTTTGCTTTTTTTAAAAAATAGGATATCATCTAGTTTAGGCTGGCACCAAACTAGCAGCAGTCCTACCGCCCAAGTCTTATGAGTGATGAGGTTATGAACAGGCGCTACAATCACCAGCTCCAAGGTACAGTATGATGGAGGCTCCTGGGAAACAAAGGCAATACATCTTGAAAAATGGGGCTACTGTGGAGGAAAGCCCAAGTCACTGCAGGTCTTTCCTGCCACTCACACATCTACAGCCAGCTTCAATGATCAGGTGCGCTCAGCTTTCTACTGTAAGCACTCTACCCGAGTTAACTTTATAGCGAGTCGGTTCCAGTGTTTAGCTAGTTTTCTAAACCCTATAAGCAGGCCAAAATGAAGTCTAATACCTTTGTCTTGCCCACTTTCCCGAGAGCTGAGATGGACATGCTCTGTTCCATCCACATAACCTGGAAAGGGAGAGGATATCTGGGTTGTGTAAGGACAGCATGAAGGTCAGCAGAATGGCAAGCAGTCTGAGTTCACAAGAAGAAATGCATTGTCTACACTGAACAAATCCAGTGGGGGAGACTAATGGCTCAACTGCCTGTCATGTGGCACTGGCTCCAGCAAGGCTAAAATTGGATAAAGACTTCAAAAAAATTCAGGAAGGAAAGCCAAACAACAAATGAGGAGAGGCCTCAGGGAAAGAGCAAGGGGACTGGAGGGGGTAAGGGGGTGGTAGGGTCTCATTCTATATAGCAGGCTGATTTGGAACTCAGAGATCCACCTGTCTCTGCCCTCCCAAGTACTGGGATGTTGGGGGGAAGTACTGTGCATTTGTCAATAAAGCACTGCTGGCCAATAGGAATCTAGATAGGTGGGACTAGGAGTCCAGGAGGACTCTGGGAAGAAGAAGCACAGAGAGTCGAGATGTAATGCCATGGGGTAGAAGCCCAGAAAGTTCTCCGGTAAGAGAAATACTTAGATTAACAATTATGGGGTAATTACTTAAGTCAGAGCTAGCCAGTAAGAAACAAGCAAGGCCAACAACTTCATAATTAATATAGCCTCCTGTGTGTTTATTTGGGACTGATGCGGCTCTAGAACCAGGCTGGCGGGAAGGCTTTCTCTCAAGGAAAAAGCTTCTCTTTACAGTGTACACCACCACACCTGGACCAAGAGTAATTCATTTACAATATTAATCAAAAAATTGGTTCAGCTGGGCAGTGGTTGTGCACTCAGGAGGCAGAGGCAGGCAGATCTCTATGAGTTCAAGGCTAGCCTGGCCTACAAAGTGAGTTCCAGGACAGCCTCCCAAGTTACAGAGAAACCCTGTTTCAAAAGCCTCTCCCCCCAAAAAATTGGTTCAATGAGGGCTAGTGAAATTGCTCAGCAAGTAGAGGCACTTGCTATAAGTCTATTCATCTAAGTTTGATCCTGGGACCCACATGGTGGGAAGAGAGAAACAATTCACACACAGACACAAAACAAGTCTTAAAAGGGAGGGGGGGCTGGTTAACTGCAAACAAAACTCTTGGTGATTCTGATATGTATCAGAACTACTACATGCAGCAGAATCGTTTTTTTTTAAAATTGTGTGTGTGCATATTCATCCCTGGAGGCTAGAAGGTGTATCAGAACCCTTGAAGCTGAAGTTACAGGCATTTGTGAGTCAGCATGTGGGTGCTGGGAACTGAACTTAGGTCCTCTGCAAGAGCACCAAGCACTCTTAATCACTGGGCCAGAAGCATCTCTTGACACTATGAATCTTATATCCAAACTCTTGTAATGCAGTACTCTAATTGTTCAAGAATGCTACATCCCTGGGAAAAGTCAGTCTACACTCTGCACTCAAGCATAGTGGTTTATCTGGCAGCCTTTACTTACCAAACAAGCTTTCAAAAGAGTTTTTTGGAAAAGTCCTAGCAGCACTCACCCTTTATTATTTAGTGGTGATGTAGGAGACAGGGAAGGACAGGTCCTCTTGGCAGAGGGCTCTTCCTCCTCTTCATCTGATGAACTGTCTATGGTTAGGTCAATCACCTCAACTTTCTTGTTTTTATTTGAGGACTGGTTGTGTGAAGTCACCTGATGCTCCAATGTGGAGCTCAAGCATCCTGTGTAGGAATGATTAAAGCACAAGACCCGTGTCAAGTCTCCTCTTTTCTCAGTGTCCTTGTAGACAAGCCTATCACTTTAGAGTAGCAACACTATTGTCGCCATAGTTGTAACAGTGGCTCTGTTCTACTAAGTTTAAAATTGCTACTTCTTATTGGTTGTTAATGAATTGTTTTAAAAAAGTTTTGAATTAGAATAATCAAAATGTATCTTATGGTTGGCTGTGGTGACATAAATCTTTAATCCCAGCACTCTGGACGCAGAGTAACTCTGTAAGTTTGAGACCAGCCTGGTCTACAGAGCAAGTTCCAGGACAGGCTCCAAAACAATACAGAGAAACCCCCGTCTCAAAAAACCCAAAAAAAGAAAAGTATCTTTTATATCCATTTTAGAATAAAAGTCTTAGGAGCAGGATTGCATGTTATATATGCTTATCTATATAGCATCCAAAATACCTAGGAAATACTAATATTAAAAAAAAGTTCGTCTCCTTCTAGCAAAACACAAGTCAAATCTATCCACATATACAAAGAAAAAAGCAGCTAGGTGTGGTGGAGCACACCTTTGGTCTCAGCACTCAGGAGACAGAGGCAAGTGGATCTCTGTGAGCTCCAGGCCATCTAGGGTTACACAGTGAGACTCTGTCTAAAAAAACAAACAAACAAACAAAGAAAAGAAAAAAAGAGATGGAAAAAGTAATGATCACTACTCTGTGCCAAAACTATAAAATCCTTTAAAAGGGTAGTGCTTCAACAGTATGATTTTAGAAGTGAATTTAGAATACTTTGAAAGCTAGTACCACAAAAATCTTAAGACTGGCAAAAAAAAAGTTGATTTAAAAGGAATCCTGCTATTTGTGTACATTTCATCAATAACCTAACAATTACTGAGCACAGAGTGTTCAAAAGTCTACATTTGTGAAAGTCCTGGCACATCACAGTGGCAACCACAGATTTGTGAACAGCTACTCACCATCAACTCCATTGTAGGAAGCAGTAACTTCCTGCACTTCCTTTTTCGATCTCATCGGGGCCCATGAGCCGTCCTCCTTAAACTGTATTTCATCACAGTCTGTACAGTACTTCAGGATTTCCATAAACAACCTAGACAAACAATCTGTCCTTAGTACTGCAGTTTACATGAAGAGAAATGAGAAACACGACTCTACTTAGATTTTTCTGTTTTACACAAGTAGTAAATGGGGGGAAAGAAAGTAGAGCAGATAAATTACATTTGTTCTCAAAACCTAATTAAATAGGAAAAGAATAGTTACTCGAATTGTGGAATATTCATATAAAAAGTCATGTAGCTTTGAAAAAAAAGACAATTTAAAAATATTTTTTAGTGTGTGTTATATGGGTAGGTAGGTAGGTACCACGGTGCATTTGTGGAGATCTGAAGACAACTTGTAGGAGTTGGCTCTCTATTTCCACCCTGTGGGTTCTGGGGTCGAGTTCAGATTGTCAGCCTTGGCAGTTAGCACCTTTACTCACTGTGCCATCTCAGTGGCCAAAATTTGTAAATACATAAGATACATCTCAGTTCACACAAAACTGGTTAAGACAAAAAGATATCTCAAAACAAGATTCTCTGTGTGAGTAAAAGCACACACTAGTTATCTCCAGGTGGTGATTTTATAAGTATTCAGTTTATACTATATACTTGTAAATTGCTCATAAGGTCTTATTTGATAAACTGAAGCCATACACATAAAAATGTACAATCAGCTGGGTGGTGGTGGTGCATGCTTTTCCCAGAACTCTGGAGGCAGAGGCAGGCGGATCTCTAGAGAGTTCAAGGCCAGCCTGGTTTACAGAGTTCCAGGACAGCCATGGCTATACAGAGAAACCCTGTCTCAAACAAACAAAAAAAACCTAAAATAAAATAATGTACAACAATTAAGTCCAAAGACAATAATACATTGACACTAAAAGATATTCATAGGGAATGCTTGAAATTCATTGTGATCAAATCATCTGGTTATAATGTTAAAAGAAACTAAGACTAAAAGTTATTATTAAGAGCATATAATCAGAATTTATATAAAAATAAAACCAGAAGTTACATCAAAAATGGCTCTGATTTCCTGTTCTTTAAATTTTTCAGAGAGAGAGAGAGAGAGAGAGAAGAGAGAGAGAGAGAGAGAGAGAGAGAGAGAGAGAGAGAGAGAGAGAGAGAGAGAGAGAGAGTTTATTGTAAGAAGGAAAAGATATACAGATCTGGTAAAATATTACTATTAATTTAAATTTATAAGTTAGTTGTCATTTCATTTCTGAAAAATCAAACAGGAAACACTGCTACGTACTCATATTCTCCCAAGACTGACATCTTTAAAGATCGGGTTGTAAGTCTATGGATAAACACATTCAATTGCTTGTATATATTCCCTTCAGGCTCTTACGCCTTCTCATACACTATAAATAAACTGTCTTGTTTGAGTGTTTTACTGAAGAATACTAGAAATATTAGGAAGGCATTTCCCCTTCTTACAGTTCAGTTCCTTATTTCTTGTTCAGTGGCAAAAAGGCAAACAGAAACCTAAGGGAAGTAACAGACTCATGGCCAGATACCAATAGGTCAAAAACCACAGACAAATAATGGATTTTAAGGAGAACGGCTGATCACTGTGATGCAACGGTGAAGACAGAAAAGAAATATAAGACAAGGATAGAAACACATGCAGCAGAGCAAAGGGAGCCACTATTAGCTGGGTGCCCTTGCCGGGAGCTCTGACAGCAGAGAACAGGTTTTGATAGACAGGACAGAAGCCAGATTTGGTCTCTAGAAATTGGCTACCTTCTACTAAAAAGTCCAACTTTTAAAAGATTTAAGAATATTATTATTTACAAATTGTCTAGTGTGTGTGTGTGTGTTTGCCTGTGGCTGTGTGCACATCACATGGAGTATGGAAAAGGGTATCAAATGCTCTGGTCTGGTCTGGGAACGAAACCTGGGTGACCTATAAAAACAATATAGGCTCTTAACTGCTAAGCCATCCCTTTAGCTCCAAAAGTCCTTATTTATTTATTATTTATTTATGATGAAATATGAACCTCATAATTAATTATGCTTTCTCCAATGCACCCTGTAGGTCTTAGATGTATTCAAAAGCATATATGCACACCCTGTTTAGAACTACTGGTGCTTAAAACGGTAAACAACAGAAGGTGCTGAAGGGAAAGCACGTGTTTTCAAAACAAGTCGAAAACACACAAATAAAATAAAAGTTAAAAATTTTAAAGAGGGGGCACACTGAGATGGCTCAGTGTTGAGCCAACCCAGGTTTGATCCCCAAAACACATGTGGTAGAAGGCAAGAACAACTCTCCAATGTTGTCCTCTAACTTCCATTGCACACTATGTCCCCAATAAATGTCTTAAAACAAACCTGAAAGATGAAGAGTATTTATTTACAGTGTTAACTACTCACTGAATTCGAGTAATGAAAATCAATCCTACTTTGAAAAATTTACCTCTAGGTTTTATCTCAAACACTCAGATAACAGAGGGCCATTTTAAAACACAGGGAGAAATGTAAACATACATACCCATCAATAATAAGGTGTTCATATGGAGCTTTCTTATCACAGACAGGACAAACCCATGTTGGTTTTTTTTCATTCATCTGAATATAAAGAGTTGCATCAAAACACTGAAGGTGGGAACAGGTAAGTGCCCGACATGGAATTGTCAGTCGCATTTTCCCAAGCTTTAAGAGAGGGGAAAGGTCAATATTAGTATCTGTTATTCAAACTTACGATTTCCTACAATACAATGTGCATATATTCTAATCTAAAGCACACTGTGCACAACTCTTGTACCCAAGGCTCAGTGAACATCACGGAAGAGGGGGCAGAAAGACCCTCAAAGTCAGAGAAGTGTCTGCTGACACTGTGCCTCCAAGACATGATAGGGAAGCTTCTCACCCACAACACAGCACAGCATGGCTGGCTGAACAGGACTTGAACAAAGATAATGCCAAAAGAGATGCTAACTTGGTACAGATCCTAGACAAAAACTATATATAGGCAATTAAGTGATGCCAAGAAAAGGAGAAACAGTCTTCCCAGGGATAAACCTCCTAATTGGTTATCAGATACCAAATGACCAGCCCTGAAATTACAGACATACAACGTCCATCATATGGACTGAGCAGGTTGTATTTATATATTTAGGAATATGTATGCATATAAATACATATATATGTAATAATAACACTTAAAGAAAAAGAGTTCATGAATTTGAAAGGGAGCAAGGGTTGGGTACCCAGAAGGAATTAGAAAAAGGAAAGGGAAATGGGAAAATGATATACTTATATTTTAATTTCAATAAATTTAAAATTTTAATATAAAAAACATGCTGTGGCTGTGTTGTGTTTCAATACCATGGAAGAACAAAAACCATATTTATCTGAGAAACCTGCCTGCAGGTTAAACGCTACTTTGAATATCAAAACAGTGACTATTTAGTCTACCTCAAGGGCATTTACTACCATCTACAGGCTGCAAGTGAGTTTCTTGTTGGAAAGGCCTGAACCCTTTTGAAAGTGCTCTCATATTCCCTGTGTGTGTGGGGGGGTGGGGGGGTGGGTAGGAATTGAATCTAGGGCCTCATGCATGCCAAGGTGTATTTCCAGCCTTCTCACTTTCTTAAATCGGTCTTTGATTTGAGAAAAGTTAAGAAGCATCTAACTAAACATTTAGAAAAAGAAGAGTCTTATTAGCTATGGCCAGTCACGGAGACCAGTATGGACTCTAGCTTCATCTCTGATAGCTGTCTTGTTCACAGGATGAAACCAGAATCACCCATTTCCTCCACAGTATGAGGTATAATGGCTGGGTGCAGCTTAGAATAGAAGGCACATGTAGTGCACTCTGTATCTCTTTCCTTACTGGGCATCATCACACAGCCAACAACCAAACCTGGGTCTCAAGCACCATCAGATAATTCAGGGACATTTTTCTTGCCTCACAAATGCTGAGCTGACACAGGATGACTGGATTATAGGAATAAAGGCATGTGAAAGGAAAGTCTTTGAGAGCTAACTCTTTCAAAGTGTAAATCTATGGTCTGTCACTTGGATTTTGAAATCATCCTTTCTGTCTTATTCACTGTCTCCATGAAGCATTGGAGAAATCTAACTGCTCTGCAGCTGGGAGCGTAGTGTGCTTGCATTGAGTTATCATAGGACTTTCAACCTACAGTTTCTTCACTTGATATTAAGCAACCAATAGGAATCTGCATTTCACAGTTAAGGTCTAATTTAAGATAGAAAAACTGAATTTGGGGCTGAGATTCAGTCAGCAGAACATTTGCCTAACATGCAGGAAGTCCTGAGTTCCTGTATAGTGTGTGACTCACAGATGTGCGCCTAGAATCTGTTCAAGACCATCCCTGGACAGAACAGTGAGTCAGTTCCAAAAAACAAATGCCCCTCCCACTAAAAGTATATCAAAATAAAAAGGTAAACATTTAATTTGGCACCATTAACTAGATTCTAACTTGGAAAATCTTGCTGGACTTTGCTAAGGCAAATAGGCAATGGATTTTCTGTTGCCAGAACTAGTTTGTTCTTTGGCCTTTTTTTCATGTGTTTATGGAACTCAAATCATAAAAACTGAATACAAGTTCAATAAAGAGTGTCATGAAACTGTTTAGTTGGCCCTTTGTGCACATAGGCAAGAAAACAATCCCAAGACTTCGTAGTATACTTCACTGACAAGATGACTTACAGTCTCAAAGCAAACTGATAGGTAAACAGTATAAGACAGTAATAAACAGAATAAGAAAGCAGAAGTTCATGTTCAAATGTATGGCCTTTATTAGCTATACTACAAATGCTACCTCAAAGAATTATAAAATAACTCTTCTGTGAAAAATCCTCCTATCTCTGGTTTTTAAAATCAATCACTAAAGTTTAAGTGTCTATCAGACACACATAAATCGATTATCTCTAACTTAGTATTGGAAAGGGTTAGTGCTGAGCAGTTTAGTCTTTTGACTACAAAGTTCTCTTCCCTTTGTGTGGGACAAGTGGATATTTGCATCATCCACTGACAAATGTTTTCTAGTGAGGCTGACATTACTCAATGGTGCTACAGTGACTGATACAAGAAAAAAAAAACTCCTAAGTTTTTCATACTAATAAACACTCATAAAATAAATTTCCAGTTTACTTTCTCTTCTATAAACTCTAAATTATCTGCATTTGGGCTTGCAGGTCTATGGTACAGCTCACATCTGACTTCAACACTTCCATCTCTGTTCTTAATAAATTAGAACTGACAATCCTCAAAGAGCAAAGGCATTTTAATTATTTTTGTTGCCTTTAGCTAAATGGCACACAAATAACAGAAACTCATTTATTCTGAGCTCTGCATATTACAAAAGGGAAATAGAAATGCACAGTAAGACAGCATATTTACATATATCCAAGAGCAAATCTCCTTTTTATGATTCCATAAATTTGATATATAGATGAGTTATCACAATTGTATTTTATTTTTGAGCAAAAACATACCTAAAATATACGGTCTTGATGTTCTGGAATAACTGTAGGAAGTTATCCCTTTAGCCAGACAGGAACTCATGACGTATTGTAATTATATATTATATATAGTAGGGTTTTTATAATCTGAATTTTGAAAGCAGATGCTAATTTACAATGAATTTCTAAAACTGTTGGAACTAATGAGAGAGAGCACAGGGGGACTTGGAACAAAAATTAGACGCCAGCTCACTAAATCAAGAAGTGTAAGAAGCAAAATGTGATCAACATTTTCTAGTAACATGGGAAAGCACCTGAACCATAGGATGCAAAACTCACTCCATAAATAAAACTGCTGCCATATACCCTAGGCTGCGTCTTTATATGAACACATTTCATGTGACTGTTCAACATTATAAATACTACATATTGGTCAGCTGTAAACACTTTTAAGATGGAAATGCAAAGAAACAAGATTCCTCTATGATTTAAGTGGACAGTGAAGCTTCTGTGTTTTTCTGAATTGATCAAATCCTCTCAATTGGGGTTTTACAATAAAACAGAGCAGCAAGAAACCATGAAAAGGGAAGTAGGTTAAGACAGGATTTGGAAAAAAAGAAAATTTATTTATTTCACTCATTCATTCATTTATTTATTTCCGAGATAGGGTTTCTCTGTATTGCTTTGGAGGCTGTCCTGAAACTAGCTCTGCAGATCAGGCTGGCACCAACCTCACAGAGATCCACCTGCCTCTGCCTCCCGAGTGCTGGGATTAAAGGTGTGCACCACTAAACGTCCAACTTATTTTGTTTATTTTTAAGTTTTTCTCCCTCTCACCTTTCTACCTTTCCTGGTCTTGAGTCAATTTTATGCTTCCTAAAAAAACTGACTGTCCTTTTATTTTCCAGTTACTTCCCCATTATTTATTTATAAACAGCAACAACAAACCTAGGTTCCTATATAACCTATGTTTAGGCTGTTATAACATTTATCTAGTTATTAAAGAACTTTTAATAATAACAACTTAGCTGGGCGGTAATGGCACATGTCTTTAATCCCAGCACTCAGGAGGCAGAGGCAGGCAGATCTCTGTGAGTTTGAGACCAGCCTGGTCTACAAGAGCTAGTTCCAGGACAGCCTCCAAAGCCAGAGAAACCCTGTCTCGAAAAAAAAAAAAAACCCAAACAAAAACAACAACAACAAAAAACCCAACAACAACAACAACAACAACAACAAAAAAAAAAAACAAAAATACCCTGACAATCCTATTCTTAAGGAAGATGAGCTATAAAGACAACTCAGAAGGGAAGTCCTCCACAGAGCAGGTGACAGAGCCACGGCCACAGGACTGCAGTTTCCTGCATTATGTTTCTTCTATGAAACATGAAGGCCATGAAGGTGTGTAAGGAGTAGGGACTCCAGCTTTAGGAAACATGTAAAGGACAGAACTAAAAACTAAACATACACCAATGACTTCATAATCCAGACAAGGCTTAGTAAGCAATACAAGGCTAAGATGTAGGATAAGTACCATTTCATTTTCTAAGATCCTTTTGCTTCTTCAAGAAAACAAGGACTACCATCACTTATATTAGTGGGATCTTAATGCTTTCAATATGATATCACCTTTCTGGATAACCTAGGCAAATCATGAAACATTGTGTCCTCTCATTCTTCATATATTTAAATAGTTAACTTGATTAATTATAGAACAAGAGGTAATCAAAATGTCAGCAATTTATTATTAATTTTCACCATCTTTTATATGAAGGCAATATTCAATTGCTATCCCTAATGCTGGTGGGTCCAGCAACAAATTAGGTATGAAATGAACTTCAACAACACATTTTTTTCTTCTGCTTATAGACTTAATAATTTGGTCAAATCTTATGGCTTTATATTTGTTTCATTCAAATGACTGTTTCTTCAACTTCCCATTCTGGCTCACAAGTGTTCTTAAGTTAATTCTAAAGGCATAAGGAATTCAGTCAGGCACAAAAGGACTTTCTTCCTTCTTCTCTTTCTTTTTTTTTTTTAAAATTGAGACATGGTGTAGCTCAGCTGGCCTTGAACTCATGGTAATTTATCTGATTTAGCATCCCACCTCACCCCAAATTCTGTGATTATAGGCATGGGTCACCAGACCTGGTGCTCTCGTGTGTGTGTGTGTGTGTGTGTGCGCGTGTGCGTGTGTGTGTGTGTGTGTGTGTGTGTGTGTGTGTGTGTGTCCCAATGTTACAGTGGAACTTCGGGTGACTGTCCAGGCAGTAAGATGTCTCTATCAATCCTAGTGTTTATATATTATCCTTCTGTGGTCTTTGATGGAGTTGAAGACAGATAGTTATAATTATAGTTTTCCTTAGTTATGATAAAAGATAAGCTACATATAGGACTTTGGACTCACAAGGATGGGATGGATGATATTTTCTTTAAATCTTGCTAAAATATTGTAACTATGTTCTTACTTGATAACTGTTCTGTTATGTATAATTTGACGGTGTTAAAGTTAAGACCTTTCTTTTTGTTTAAACAGAAAAGAGGAGATGTTGGGGGAAGTCCTGTGCATTTGTCAATAAAGTACTGTTGAGCCTATAGGGAACCAAGATAGGAGGGACTAGGAGTCCAGGAGAACTCTGGGAAGGAGAAACACAAGAGAGTCGAGATGTAACGCCATTGGGGTAGGAAGCCCGGAAACCTCTCCGGTAAGAGACATACTTAGATTAACAATTATGGGGTAATTACTTAAGTCAGAGCTAGCCAGTAAGAAACAAGCAAGGCCAAGAGCGTCATAATTAATATAGCCTCCTGTGTGTTTATTTGGGACTGATGCGGATCTAGAACCAGGCGGGCGGAACAGTTTCTCACAAGGAAAAGCTTCTCTTAACATGTGTGTGTGTTTTAAGATTTATGTATTTATTATGTATATAGTGTTCTGCCTGAACATCAAGAAAAGGCATCAGTTCTCACAATAGATGGTGTGAGCCATGCTGGGAATTAACTCGGGACCTCTGGAAGAATGGGCAGTGCTCTTAACCTCTGAGCCATCTCTCCAGCACTGTTCATGGGTTTTGTCATTTTTTAAAAAAAATTTTTGAAGACAAAGTCATCTTGGAGTCTGATATGGAGACCAGCCTGGCCTTGAACTCACATAGATTCTCCCAACTTCTGGGATTAAAGGTATGTGCCATACCCAGCTGGCAGAGTTTTTGATTGGCAGTTTCTTATAGTCACTGTCAACAAAATGACTATCTGTGGGTAACTGTGCTCAATTCTTATCCATAGAGTCCTATATGAATTAATGTAGTGTGGAAACAAGCCACAGCACTCCTTATTCTGCTCTTTAAACTGGAACCCAAGACATGCTTGTTTTACTGAAGGCAGTACTTGGATGACCCACACCACAAGAATAGCACAATTTAGAATTATTCAGCTCACAGTCCTATGCCTCAGTGTCTTTCCATTTTGATAAACTCTGAAAGTGTAGAGTGGGTAGATTCTTCAAGTAAGCAGAATTTCTCATGCTCAGTAGATAGAAGTGTATATACCACCCTCAAAGATAAGTATTAGCAAACACTTACTGGACACAGCAGTGAAACCCGTAGGCTGGTGGTAGCTATTTCACTGTCTGGATCTGCAGTTAATTTCTCTTTAACTGAAATGCATTGAAGAGAAAATAAACAGAAAAAGTTTATTAAAGACATTACCAAAATAACATGTTTAATTGAGCTTAAAATCTGAAACCTAAACAACTCCAAAATAATCTGCTCAATTATCTTCTAATCAACTGACTGGAAAGCTAGGAGTAGACACACAGCTTATGCCCTTCAGAGGAAGCAAGAGAAGAATTCTCTGTAGCCTAGCTTGAACTTCTTGCAAAGCGCTGGCACGACATCACAGTACACAGGAAGGAGCAACAGCAGCTTACATGTCCAGGGATGGCTGGCCCCTTTTAGTTATTATTCTAAGACACCAATGACTTTCTTTACAACTATGAGTAATTTGTATTCTTTTAAAGGAAAGTAATAAGGAGCAATGATAAAACGCTATGAAAAGAAAAGGTCCAACTATTTTCTTTACCATGTAACTGAATCCTGCCGTTTACCCATAAGCTCACTGTGCTGCCTTTAGTAAGTCAATCTGCCTTTTTTAGATTAATGTTACTTACTGTAAATCTGTAAGCCACACTAGATGATTTCTTAAAGTCTTTTCAGTTCAAACTTCCTACAATTTTCAAAAAAGGGGGCACCAATAATTTTACTTTTCATGGCTACTCTTTTACTGTCTTCCAGTTTACCATAAAAGATTCTTTATACTTCCCACGTGTGGTAGTTTGAATAAGAACGACCCCCACATGTTCATATAATTGAATACTTAGTCACCAGGGAGTGGCACTATTTGAGGAGGATTATGAGGTTGGCTTTTTTGACAGAAGTGTGTCCTGGGTGGGAGAGGGGTCTGTGAGGTTTCAAAAGCCCAAGCCAGGTCCAGTCTCTCTCAAGATGTAGTGCTTAGTACCTATATAGCATTCTAGTTTATAACTGATTACTACATTAGACCAGGGAAGAGGAACATGAATGGGTGGTTTAAAAACCTCTATACAGATTTTAATGCCAGACTAAGAATTATTTTGTAAACTAGAAATCTGGAGTTTTCAAAGTCTGACGTTCATACCCCCAAGCCACAAACTTCTGGATTTTAGTTTAGAAAACAGAGTCATCTAGACACTATACTAATATCAAATATAAATTAGGAATTTATGTGTTTGTCCCTATTCACCCAACCTTAGCTAATCTTTTCCTATAAAATAATTTGAAAGAATATTAACTTAATTAGCAGAGCAAAGTGACTTTGTAATCCCAGGAGGATTATTGTGAGTTCCAGGCCAGCCTGGTCTACACAGTAAATCCCAGGATAGCCTGGGCTACAGTACAAAATCCCAATTGACAATAGCAAACCCCAACTCCTCACTCCCCAGTGACAACAACTATCTGCCAGAGAAAATAGACATGAAAATCAAGTTCAAATGTGTTCCTGAGGGTGTCTGAGCCTGGCATGTGAGTCGATGAACTAGGTAAGGGAAAAGCCGCCCTCAATGTGGATGGGACTATCTAATCAACTGTGAAGGGAGCTAGGAAGCAGGCAAGACAGACCAGCAAAACAAAAAACAAACAAACAAACAAAACCCCAAAAACAAAACAAAACAACAACAACAAAAGCACTGGAATTCATTTAGCCTTTGGATTTCAATATTCACACTAACACCCTGAGCTCTCCAGCCATCAGCCCCAGCTGAGAGTTACATCACCGGCTTCTCTGAGCCTTTGGACTTCAGCTCAGCCATGCTTCCCTGCTTCTCCAGTTTGCAGATGGCACACTGTGGGACTTCCCACCCTCCATAAACATGTAAGCCAATTACTCTGTTATTTCTTCTCCCCAGTCTTTTCTATTTTTATCCTCCTGGTTCTCACTTGCTCTGGAGGACCCTGAGTAAGACACCATCTACTCTGCATGCCTTTACCAACCAGTCCAGCAGCACCCTCCTACACTGCAATGGGAATAGGGACTGAGCTTTGTGTAAACCTGCACTTCAATGCAGCAACAGATTAGTATCAGCCTTCACACCAAAACCCAGTGGTCAGTACTTAGAAAGAAAAAGAGGAAGACCCATAGGATAGACGGCAAGAGAAGACAACGTTGAGTCAGTAAGTCAGAATTCTGACTTGTTAAGTCATTTTAGTAACTTTTTTCCATAACCCAGTAAACGAGAATAATAGCTGCATTGGATTAAGCGAGTTTAACCCAATGAAAAAAATGTCTTAAAATATCCAATATTACATTTAATAAATGCTAGTAGCTGTTATTTAAGATGATTTGCATGTTCCCTCTCTTGGAGATAGATTTTCTGAAATCATGTTTGCAGATTTCTATTACAACAAGCAAACAGAAATCTCCTTTGCTATAACAGACCCAATCCCAGGGTTAAAATACATTTTTTTAAAGTGGGTAATGTAGGCTGTGTCAGCTGCCAGCAGTTCAGCAGCTTCAGGCTGAGAGTTCTAATCTGTTCCACAATATATTGGTCATCTTTGCTCCCAGTAGGTTGTGCGGCAAGGCCATGGTCAATACAGAGGCCATCCGGCAACTTCAGAAGAAGAATGCCTAGCTGATCTGCTGTATTGCAGTATCAGAAAAGGGGTCATGTGAACAAGTCAGTGTAGTGCCCGCAGGTGTTACAAATAAATCTCATCTATTAAGCTACCATGGCAGATGCTGACACAACCTGTCTTACAAAGACTGGAATAATCTTCCAGGAGGATGATGTTAGGAGGAGTGACAAAATGGAACCCATCTCCTGAGTGACAGACAACACTGTTACCAACTGAGCTATTTTGAACATGGGTAAAAAGTCTGTGACTCTTTACCCTGTGAAGACAACTACTAACTTTACTATATTCTCAATGTAAATATGTTAGTAATAAAGTATATCCTGCAATTAGGGACTGAACCCAGGGCCTTGTGTGTGGTAGGAGTGCTTTATGAATAAAGTTATAGTTAGTCATGGGTAAACGTCATTTTGCTATTGAATTCTTGGGTTTTGTTTTGTTGGATTTTGTTGTTGTTTTTTGAGATAGAGTTTCACTGTATATCCCTGACTGTCCTGGACTTGCTCTGTAGACCAGGCAGCTCTCAAACTCAGGAGATCCACCTGCCTCTGCTTCCAAAGTGCTGAGATTAAAGTTGTGTGACACTGATGTCCAGCTGAATCCTTATTATGAGCTACTAGTTTTAGCACCATGAGCCTGTATTAAATACACTGAAATTTAATTTAATTTAAAATTCAGCATCTTAGTTGTACTAGTCACTTTGTCAGTGTTCAATAGCCATGCTGCTGGTGACTACCACACAACTGTAAAATTGTTTCAGACTGCCCTACTAGATGGTGCTGTTCTGGGTTATACGTGATTTCTCTCCCTCATTTAACATCAGACTATTTTAATTCAATCTTTTAGAATTTTAAGGGTGAAAACAAGTAAACACACTAAGCTCAAAAGGCTTTAGAGCCACATTTCCCTCTACGCTTCTTTTCACCAGCTAACACCAATCACTGAGTACAGAAGTGCATGCATGTGGGAAGCTGTAGCAGGAAGATCACATATTTGATGTCATAAACAAGAACAGTAACTAACAAAATGTGAGCGTTGACTATGTGTCAAGGCGCTGTGTGAGGCAGTGAGAACTCCAAGAAGAACAAGATGAAAGCCATCAGAAGGAGATGCTCAGTGGGGTCTTCTCCAGATGATGGGAGCCAAGAGACTCTGGAGATGCTAGGAAACAAAGGACCACTGGAGTGAGGCAGTAGAAGCAGCTAGAAGTTTGAAGCAATGAGAACAGAACACTCTAGCACTGAGGAGGGAGAGAGGGAATATGATGTGTTTTTGCAAAGTAAAATATGAGAGAGATTAAAAAAGTAACTATAAAGCGAGATCTGGGGAAGTATTAAGAAAGTCACATCAGTGTTGTATGTCACACTAGTAAAGCTGGAGATTTTATTCCACTGGTGTCAGGAATTCAGGGGATGGTAAGATCAGACATGTGTCAATAAGTTAAGCCACTACCAGGGAAGAGACAAGAAAAGTCAAGAAAGGGGTGGAATACACAATTTAGGACAAAGCTTCTAAAGAGAAAGACAAGATGTAAGGGTTTAAATGAGGGCAATGACGGAAGACAGATTTGAGAAAGGTTTAGGTTGCCAGTTGACAAAACTGGATGAGTTTTATATTCTAGATTCTAATGAAGTAGAGCAATGTTTAGGGGAAGGCAGTCAGCTTACGCAATCTCAAATTGGAGGAGACACCTAAAGAAAGACTTATATTTTGGAGTTAGTACTAGTTTAAGCAGTAAGAGTGGACACAAAAGCAGAACAATAATGGAATTCCAGGGAATATTTAGAATATATGTCCATCTGCTCCCCCTGGGTCTCACCAGAGTCCTGACTGGCCTCTTAACTCAGTCTACCTCTCCCTCCTGGGCTGGAATTAAGGGCCACTCTGCCCAGCATTAGGATGCTTCTCTCCAAGAGTCCCTTGAAGGAAGGTAGCTGAGGTCAGAAAAGGGAGGAGACAATTTCAAGGAGAAAGAGGTTGGTATCAAATGCAGCAAAGCATCCAAGGTAGAAATGCTTTAGAAAGAGCAGTGGAGCACCACTGCGGTCACTGCCTGAGAACATTCAGGGCAGCTATGGGTCTCAGAGACTATGTGAGTGGTATAGAGGAAGTACACAGAGCAATGCAGACTACCTTGTTTTTTGTGGGTTTTGTTTGTTTGTTTTTAAAGACATGTGCCACCACCACCACCCAGTGATGACCACCGTTGTTGAGTGCAATAGGACAAACAAGAAGTAGAGGTATTTTTTTTTGAGACAAAGTCTCACTGTCTAGCCATGGCTGCTCTACAACTTGATTTGTAGATCAGGCTGGTCTTGAACTCAGTGATGTGCTGCCTCTGCCTCCCAAGTGCTGGGATTAAAGGCATGAGCCACCACCGCCAATCAAGAAGCAGAATTTTAAAGTATGAAGGAGACTTAACAGGAGACTTATCAGGAAACCTGAGGGGACAAGAGGAACTAGAAATTCGAGTGAAGGACCAGTGAGGTGTCAGGTCATGTAGCACTGTTTCTGAACACTGTCACCTTCCATGCATGCATACCTCTAACACCACAAGTCTAAGAGTGCAGTCAGTTCTTTGAAATCTCGTCTTTCATTTCCATTTCAGAAAATAGCATTAATGTGGAATACAGTGCTTAAGAATGCAGACCAGTGAGCTATTCAGTAGCTTAAGATATTTGCTGCACAAACTGACCCTCCTGGAACAGATGCAAAGGTGGAAGAAAGGAAGGACTCCAAAGCTGTCCTCTGACTTCCATCCCCAATTACCCGCCTGCCTCCCCACCCCCTAACCCCCCCACCCCCGTGCACACACACACACAACAACAAACTTGGTTGCGCTTATGAATTTACAAAGTCCCCTACCTCACACTCTGGCTAGTCTCATTCTTTTCAATAAATGAAGCTTCCCTGGCCTTTTCACTGGGCACATTCCCTTCCTATCCTGGGGCATAACAACAACTCCTCTTCTTCCACTCCCAATACTGTCCTTAGCACCACAGACAGAGGACTAGAACTCCCTGTGGTGTCTCTTCAGAGTTCTCTGTCCTCCTTCCTCAAGCCACATGTCATAACTATAACTTACTAATGACTTGGTCAGTTTTTCCCATCAGATTTTAAATTTTTTGGAGATTAAGAAAGAATGTGTGGTCTTGTGTAAGCTGTGCTCTGCTGTTCCTAGAATACAGCATATTCTTCATTTAATTTCTTGAATGAAAATACACTCACTCATATTCTCTTGATGTTTGATTGTGAGCCTAGCCTTTACTGGCTGCACCATCTCTCCAGCCCACAGAATGTATTTTCTCAATGAGAAGTCTAAATTTTAAATGCTATAAACATGATCATGCATGGATTTGACTAACACACTATCAGCAGACTTTCCTTACAAGGTTAAGTATGACTTACAGTCAATGCAACTGTAAGCAAGTTTATGCTTCAAAAATTCCAGAGAAAGCCTGGTGGTAATGGAACATGCCTTTAATCCCAAAACTCTGGAGGCAGAAGTAGGCAAATCTCTGTGAGTAAAGGCCAGCCTGGTCTACAGAGTGAGTTCCATGACAGCCAGGACTATACGAGAAATTATATCAAAAAACCCAAAAAATCCTGAGAAGTGACATTTTCTCAACTTAAAACATTTATAAGTATGTTTTATAAAATACAACATATTTTAATTACATAATTTTGGAGAAAAGTTATTTCTTTACAGGTAACATAGAGGCAAATGCCTTTAGTTAGTTGCAATATATTTCTTTAAAAAAAAGATTTGTTTATTTTATACAGTGTTCTGTCTGCATGTATGCCTGCATGCTAGAAGAGGGCACCAGATCTCATTACAGATGGTTGTGAGCCACCATGTGGCTGCTGAGAATTGAACTCAGGAGCTCTGGAAGAGCAGCCTGTGCTCTTAACCTCTGCGCCATCTCTCAAGTTCCTACAATATATTTCTTACTGGTAAAATCCAATTAATGTTCCATTTATTCACCTGGACAACAGAAACTCTCAGACTAGCAGGGCATAAAGATGCAAAGTAACTAGCTTTGGAATTAAGAAGTTTTGCAGCTTAATAGTAGCTGGATGCGTTCCTAGAAATCCAACCCAGGCCCCCTGGTACAACCTTTTGGTGGAGCTCTAGCTGCAAGTACAGAAGAAACAAGAGCCTGTGCAAACAGCTCACTTTGTTGTTAAATCCAAAAGCTTCACCTGCCTTCTTCCATGGTATCTTTGTCTTTTCCACCACGGCTTACCACAAAACTTTCTGACTAGTGGAGATCAACCAATGTAAGGCAAGAATAAAGACTGTCAGCCTGGAATGACTTCATCTAGGCTGTGAAAAAGGAAAAAATGCCTCTCTTGTACATTTCTTCCAGGTACATGTCTCCTTGTCTCTGACTCATGGAGTCTCCCCATCCCCCTAAATACACAGTGTTTTCATTTTAGCTCTTGGTTCAAAAGATTCTCCCGTCTCAGTCCACTGAGTAGCTTCGGCTATAGATGTGTAGCACCATATCCAGCTATCTGCATTTTAAAAAAGATCCTTTTAGTACAGGAAAAAATCTCCAGTGAACTACTGCAGGTGTTCAGTTCATGAGGATATTGGGATCTGTCATTCCACTACAGAAAAGGATAAAGAAAGGATACAAGCTGTGCTCTTACTTCTTCCCACCAGAATGCTAATGACAAATCTGAGAATGGGATGCTATTATTAACTCATTTTAAGAGCTTCAAGTGCAGGGTGTGGAGGCTCCTGCCTGTGATCCCAGCACTGAAGCAGGAGGATCACAAGTTTGAAGCCACCCTAAACTACAGAGTCAAGGACAGCTATCACATTCTTGCAAGGAATGTGCTGCTTCCTAAGCACCAAACCTCCATCTCTAAATTCTCCTACAAAGAACCCACACCTTTTGAAAAGAGAATTAAGGAAGAACTTAAGCCATCTCTTTAGAAAAGCTAATGATGCTCAAAACTTGAGGTAGAAGTCCATTTGCAGACCTTAATTTCCTTTCTAACTCCTAAAATTTCTTAAACATTGGTTTTATGAAGTTGTAATAAAATATTGCATTCAGGAAATAACTTTACAAAGTAAATATTAAGATCTGTAAAACACAGATCATCAAATATAGTTTCACAACAAAAACATTAAAACTACCTTTAGATTTTAATTTGTAAGTTCACAATATTAGGTTCTTGGAGTTTTTAAATCCTCTACAACAGGCTCTGGTTTAAAAAAAAAAAAGACAAATGAAACACTAAAATTTGAGTTGAGAAAAAAAATACTATTCTAACCTTAACAAGATAGTTTAGCTGCATATATGAAGTAAGTTTATCATACGTACTTAAAGCTCTAGAATGATCCGGATTCCTTATTCCCTTTGCTCGTAACCTCTGAAGAAGAACTGTTGAGGACAACTGTTTTACAAGATATACTGCCATGGAATAGGTCTGGAAAAAAAGAAGATGTAGAAAACCAATCACATATTTAAGTAAATAGCACATCTATTCAACCCCACAGGGACAGCGAAAGAAAACTAACACTTATTGCAGTGCCTACTGTGTGTCAAGCACTGTCTTCCTCATTGATTGCTGCTGAGGTGTCAAAAACCTATTTTGTGTGTGTGGATGAGAAAACTGAGGTAGAGTAGTAAAGAAATTGCCCTAACTCATAGCACGCAAGTGTCAAGCTGAGAACTTTAACCCAGGGCTGCTGCACTCTATAGCACTGAGTGCTTCAAGTTAATAGATTTAAGGTTCTTACATGAAAGAATACTATTAAGACTAAATATAAACCAAGGCTGTTAAGATGGTGAAGGTATCATATACTGTATTTAACAGGTAACACATATTCTAAAATAGTAGCTATTAAACATTACCAATGAGATGGGTTTCTAGTCCACTTATTTAGTGTCTCACCATGCCTGGGGCGTCACTAGATCCTAAAGATACTTGACTTAGGCCATGCATACATCATGCAGGTAAATCAGTAAAGGCTGTACAGAGAAGCACTGCTTGAAGATGAGCAGATACCCAATGCCTGCAGGGACTACCTAAGAAGGTAGTACAAAAAACAGGTAGCAAGTCAAGCTAAGTGAAGGGTTTGTAATTGGGAAAGAGGAAGAAAAGAGGACCAAGACTATGAAGGGACAAGAGAGAAAGGTCAGAATGAGAAGGATCTTTTGTCTGTTTTTTGCTGGAATACAGTAGATCAAGACACTTGAAAAGAAACAAGAAAACAGAGTTACCATCTTCTTTATAGCAACAGTTTTCAAGGCACTCCGGATATATACCGCAGACCTCATTTCAACTTTGCCTGCAGTCTATCGGAGGAAACAGGTACTACCAAATCTCCAAAGGCTGATGAAACTGAGGCACAGATTGCTCAGGCAGTAGATACCAAGAAGAAAGGGAAAGGACTCCAAAAGGAGTGAGCAAGGGCTGTGCAATTCTTGCTTCTACACACCAGAGTTTATCAGAACCTCTTAGCCTACCCTCACCAGTATTCTAGCCCTTCCGTCTTCTTTCCTTCTCTCAGTTAGGAACCAAAGAAAGGGGCCCACACGTTCAGAAAGCAATCCACCACTAAACCATCTTCTCAGTCTTAGTTTTACATTTTAAATATGCACCTGCCTCTTGGCACAAGAGGGCACATCCTGCAGAACCCTCTGAAATGTTATGTTTCCTATAAAGTTCAGAAACCTATCTGTGCTCACATGCTGCATATTTTCTGAAAAAACTGAAGTAGCAATCAGCAAATTTGCTTATTAGTACATTTCAAGGTGTTTTTATGAAAAAAAGTAACTTTACAATGTCCCTACATTTTAAAGCACACAATTTATTAATCTAATACAGAAGTGATAAAGCCTCTTGTAGTAGGGAACTCAAACTGTTTACCATCACTCCTTTACTACTAATGCTTCATGTCAACCAGAAACTGGAGAGATTCTAATCAACAGTAAGGTTCTGGACTGACAGCTTCAATGTTCAGACTTGGAAACACCCCAGGGCTTTCTATGAGATCAAGTTAAAAAATAAAAAAAACCCAACTTCAACAAAAAGGTATATGTACTCTAGTTCAAACATGTAACCAGAGAAGAAAATAAAAGCTGCAAGAATGCCAGGAATGAAATTCTACTTGTACCAACATCACAAGGAGGTATTACACACAAAGATCCTCCAAAACAACAGTGGGTAAGTAGACAGTGTTTCTGCTGGCCCTTTGAGGGCCAACACTTTATATAAAACATCTTACACTGTTAATTTTGTCTGTACTTTTTCTCAGTCTGTATAACTGCTGCTGTTCATAAGATACTTTCTCCATAACCAAAACATCTAGTCCTTCTGTTCCCTTCTTACAGTAGTATCCAAATGGTTCCTCCATCCACAGGAAAAGTTTAATAAGTGCTCAATAAAGTAAAATGTCACAGGGTAGAACAGAAATTCAATGCACTTATCTCCTTTGGGTACTATGTGGAGCTTACTTATTTTCTTTGAAAATACAAACTTCTTCCTCCTTTTCACCTACTCTTCCCTGATAGCCCTCTTTTTGTACCACGGATTCTCTAAGGCTTCCTGGAAGTCAGGCAATTCTTCCACTAGGATAATCTCCATCTTGTTTTTACTTTTCACTTGGAGACACAGGATCTCACTAAGTTATACAGGCTGGCCTGGAACTGACCAGGCAGGTTTCAATTTGGAGATTTTCTTGCCTCAGTCTCCTGAGTAGCTGAAATTACACCCCTGCACCACCAGGCTAAGCTATGTAATATCTATCTGCAATGTAGCAAGACATTTTGCACAGAATATTCAGAGTAACCTAACAAGTTGAACTAAACTAGTGATTTTTAAATAATGTAATTAGTTATCATCTGAGATTTACAAAATAATCTTTTCATTGTTTTATAAAACACACACACCAAAAAAAAAAAAGCACCCCTTGTTGTGGTGTTTTGTTTTTTTGTTGTTGTTCCTAAGGTGGGAACTATATACCAAAATCAATGGTAAAACATGAGTTAGCTGAAAGGAAAAATATAACCCTAGTAGGTTTCTGTAGCATGTTAAAAAAAAAAAAAAAAGACCCAGAGACTGGGGTTCAAGCTTCAAGCTAAAGATCAGAGAAACAAAGCCGCCAGTCAGTAGACCTTACCTCTACTCAGCTGAAATGGCAATTCTGTCTCCATGAATCCTCAGAGGCAAAAAAGACTGAATTCTTGTCCCCTCCTCTTTATATTCCTTTCTCTGCCCAGTCATATTCTCCTGTTTCCACTTCCCTAGTGCTGGAATTAAAGGCTTTTTTTCCCCCAAGTGCTGAGATCATCATTGTGTGAGCTGTTTCTTTTAGTACTGAATCGATTTCACGTAAGTCAGTGTGGCCTTGAACTAACAGATATCCATTTAACCTCTTAATCCTGAATCCTGGGGTTAAAGGTTTGTACCACCACAGCCTAGCTTCTATGGTTGCTGGATTAAAGGTGTGTGTCATCACTGCCTGATCTCCATAGCTTGAGACTGGCTTTGCTTTCGGGAATCCTCAAGCAAGCTTTAATAAATTATAAATAATATATCACCACAGGTTTCAATTTATTTTGTAAAACTCAAAATTCATTTTTGTTTTGCTTTTGTTATTAGACAGGGCCTCATGCATCCCAGGATGGTTTTACACTTGTTATGGAGCCAAAGATGATGTTGTGTTTCTGATCCTCCTGCTTCTACTTTCTGACTACTGGAGAATAGGCATGTGTCTCCAGTTTATGGAGTGCTTGGGATAAAACCATGGGCTTCATGCATAGGAGGTAACTATTTTAACAACTGAATTACATTCCCAAAAACCCAAATCCATTTCTAATAAAGAAATTCAGCAAAAGAGGAATATTGTAAATGTATCATTAATATAATTAAGTTCTAAACTAATAGTGGGGCTGGGCGTGATGGCACACACTTTAATCCCAGCACTCAGGAAGCAGAGGTAGGCGGATCTCTGTGAGTTCCAGGCCAGCCAAAACTACATAGTGAGATCCTGCCTAAAACCAAAACACCAAGCAAGCAAACCAAAACCCCTCATGGTGGGACTCAGAAGTTATGAACTTTGAGCACCAGAACTTAGGATTTTCTTACAAAGGTTTTTAATTAGTGGTTAGATAGGAGAACCGCTGGGGGCTTGGCTGGTTTCTAGTCTGGGTCTGGCTACCTAGGTTCAGAGGTGTATCAAAGAGTGATAAGAGGACACTGATGCCTTCTGTTTATATGTACACACACACCCCATTATAATACTAAACATTATAACAGGTGTAGTATTCTCTTTAACAAAGGAACAATAAAGCTGTTCAGTAACACCTATGTTATGTTTAAAAAGTTCCAGCTAGTAGAAGAAATAAATAAGGCATAGTATGTACTTGTGTAAATGACAATTTACAACTAAACACCACCTTCCTGGAAATACTAAAACACATACATACATACATACATACATACATACATACACACATACATACATAAGCAGGAAATACCCACAAACAAGTAGTTTCTGAATAAGTCAACAATAAATAATAAATAACCCTAGAAAATATAACAGGAACAAGAGATACACTGAAAATAGCAACAACAACAAAAAAATCAACAGAGGAATTAAAAGGATTCAGGACTTACGATGGGCAGTGGTGGCACACACCTTTAGTCCAGGTGGATCTCATATGAGTTAGAGGTCAGTCTGGTCTACAAAGCTAGTTCCAGGATAGCTAGGGCTATTACATAGAAAAACCCTGTCTTGACACCACCACTACCAAAAAAAGAAAAAAAAAAAAAAGCAGAACTCAGATACTAAACCTATTCAATTACTGAGGAGCATCAAGAATTTGAGTAAATGGAGAAACATGGTTCCTGAAATTGTTACCACTATGTTTTATCATTAAAAACCCTCCTAGTCCTCTAACTTCCATCTATGACTAAAGAAATCTTACTCAAGAATCTAAGACCTGGAGGTAGAGTGAGGAAGGAAGACGAAGGCACATGGTTAAGTAATTCCACAGTTCATGCGGCAGAATAAATGTGAAGAGAAGGTTCACTGTGTCTCACACTAATAACTTTGCCAACTTTCCTCCAAGTCCTTCTTTGTAACTTCTCTCTTAGCTTAACTCCCATTTCCTACCTGACAGATTTGAGAGCAATCACCCAATCAGAATGTGACTCTCCAGTCGTTTCACTATCCTTCCTGCCTCCCATGAGCAACTTGAAGGATGTGATTCACTTGATTATTCCTCTTCCTGTTGTGCCTCTCACTCTCTAAAAGATTCCTCCATCAACCAGACACATTAAAACGTTTCCCTTTAAAACAAAGAACTCTCAATCTCACATCCTTCCAGCTCATCTCCTCTCTCCTGACAGGCTTGTAATTAATCATCTCTAGAGTTTACCTCCAGCCCATCACAAATCAACACTCCAATCTTCCATCAAAACTTCCTGTTAATGTCACCTGTGTGCTCTCAAGACAAACAGTTATTTTGTGCCTGTAAGTTCATTTGTATGTGCATGCGGGGGCCAAATATTAACAGTGGTTATCATTCTTTAATCACTCTAGGCTAAGGCTCCTACGGACACTTTTGTAACAGTTGGCTAAGAACTGAATGCTGTATGATTTGGGCGTCTACCCCACTGCTTAACCACTCTAAAGAGTAACCCTGTTTTATTCAGAAACATGTAAACTTTCTGCTTAAAAAGGGAAGAAGTTTCAGGCAGTGGTGGCACACGCCTTTAATCCCAGCACTCAGCAGACAGGTGGATCTTTGTGAGTTCAAGGTCAGCCTGGTCTAAAGAGTGAGTTCCAGAACAGCCAAAGCTACACAGAAAAACCCTGTCTTGAAAAAAGAATAATGGTGGTGGTGGGGGTGTGGTGGAGAGGGAGACATTTTCACAAAGCCCTGTGTGATTGAGCCCGGTCTTAGTCTCCAGAAAGGTCCCTGCAGCTCTTCCCATTCACTGCACTTCACGAAGAGTGAAGCCCTCTCAGTGTTTGGGAAAGCAGAGGCTCACCCCTACAACTAGACTGCTGTGTTTCCTACGAACTTTTCCCAACTCCCATCCTTCCCGTTTTTCTCTCGTCACTGCTTCCTCAGGGAAGTCCTTCCCTGACCTCTCTTCTCTTTCAAGTACTTGACTACACTAAGGTTTCAGTCACTTCTCCTTTATAGCACTGAAACAGTAGGACATTTTTTGGTGTGTATGTACAAAGCCCCCAGATCTCAGGCCCCAGGAAAACAAGGATTTGTTCTCACTACAGTAGTACTATGCAGTGACTTAAGTCAATCAATCTTAACTCATGAATAGAAGGGTTTACATTAGAGAGCTACAATAATTTTTAGACAAAATTTAAGAGTATCCTAGAAAATAAAAGCTAGACTAAGAAACAGTATAGAAAAAGTTCAGAAACAGAAACATAACATAAAAAATTATGTATGTAACAATGGTGGTTTCAAAACTACCATTTACTTAGAACTGGGTTGACTAGTGAAAATAATTTTCTCATACAACATATGAATTCAAGATGGATTAAATATTTAAAGATAAAGCATGAAACCTTTGTAGACTAATAGTCTAGCTTATTAACATAAGCTTGGCAAGCATGGGCAGACAGAGCATGATGGGAAGGGGAAAAGACTACAAAGCAAAAAGCTGGTTAACATTTGGTGTTATGAAAATTTAAATCTGCATATAAATAACCACATAGATAAAAAGCTAACAACTAGAGACAAATATTTACAAGATGTATCAAAGGGTGAATTCTCAACATATTAAACCTAGAAGACAAATAAGGAAAGAACAAAAGAGAAATGGACATGGATGTAAATTTAAAATGTAAATAAGTATCAACATCAAATATGTTCACGCTCACTAAAATCAAAAGGGGTACTAAATGCTAACTTTTACTTAGTGGTAAAGACTTTTTAAAAGATAATAGTGTTTGCAGGCATGCAAATAAACACTGTAAGTCAGAGAATACACTTGTCTATCTTTGGGGAAAGCCATCTGTCATGCACACAAAACTTCTCAAAATTCTTCTTGCTCTTTGGCTCAAAAATTCTACTTCTGAGAATTTACTGCAAGGAAATCATGCATGTATGCAAAGCTGCATCTGCCAGGACAGCATACAAAGTTACTAAGTATTCAACATCAGAGAATAGACTAAATAGTACATATTCTTATCACCATATGATATAACCAATTAAAATGCTGCAGAATATGCAATGACACAGGAAGAAGTTTGTGATAAATTATAAAGTGAAAAACCAATGGAGACTACATGATCCTGTTTCAAGTAGAGAAAACTAAAAATTCACTGCGAGACAAAAATCCATTTCTACTCATTACCGTGTAATTCACACATTATAGGCAGCCATGGTAATTAACCCTTCCTCATGATAGGAAAAGAGCTACAAACAAAAGCTTACTTACTCTTCCAATTTCCGCAGTCCAAGAAACAACAATGGTATTTGGTACTGTCGTGGACAATCGGACAAGTGAGGTGATATTAATTGGTCTGCTAGGTCGCTTTGGTTCCACACCGTTTTTAGTAGGTGGAAGGTAACCCTAAAAAAGAAATATAATTTATTTCTATTTCCACAATTGTTTCCATTTCTTCTTATTTTTTTTAAAACAAACCTACAAATGTTTTCATTAAAAGTAGGGAAGCAAACATTTATGAGTTACTTAGGCAATGCTCTCTCTGAACAACCTGACAGTCTCACTTTAGCAAGCCCGGTGCACACATGTGCCCGTGCTGGGGGTGGGGGGTGGGGGACAGGGTGATAGACAGTGGTAAAAATTCAAAATCTCTTGTCTAAGAATCAGAATGAGTTCACAATGGCTTAAAGAGGTATACAAGGAGCATTTCCAAGGGAAACAAGCACAGCTCCTGCCCTCACTCCATCTAAGGCACAGTAGCATTCTGAACTCTGTTCACTACAGGCATACAGGCTCAACGGGATTCTGTCTTCCTAAAACCCAGCACAACACTGATGCTACCATGGGCAATGCTACAATTTTCTCTGCATGGCTCATGTCACAGCTGCTAACTTGCCTACCTAGTCACATGACTACACAATAAAATGTCTCCTCCCTGCAGTAGTGGGGCTGAATCCAGGGTCTTTTCCATACTAAGCAAGCACTTCTGAGCACCAGCCTTAGTCCCCAAAATGTTTCTTAAAGTAACATTAGAATTAAAAACATCTAAGATGATTTATGTAATAGTCATAGGTAATGTACTTCAAAATCGTGTTTAGAACTTACTGGAAGGCTGCAAGGTTTTGTATTCACTTTCACACAAAGGTTGGGTGGGAAGTGATCTTCTTGTGGACAGCTGGTTTCTGATAAACAAAACCTAAATGGCAAAGTTGGTCAAGTTTAATTTCATTTATTAAAAGATAATCTCTAACATTTTTATTTGATAGCTAACTTGAAAGATGATCAATTTTAAAACAGAAAAAGAATAATAAAAACAGTACATTTTATATAAAGAGTAAACATGGGCAAACAGGATTAAAAAACCATTGATCTTTTAGAGGCCAGAATTGTATAGGCCCAAATGTGTGTGTGCATAAATTAGTGATGCCATAAACAAACTAGAAGAAAAACCAGTTAGCTGAGATGTTAAAAAATATCAAGGATTTAGATAGCCCATAAATGTATAAAATATGTATGGGCAATAGTGTTCCAAGTTACCATAAAAGATGTATGAATTTATTACTTAAAATTTAAAGTCCATCAAACTTATGCACAAACACACCTGGTGCCATTCTCAATCAAAGAGAAACAAATACAAAGTTGAGATATTAAATCACAACTGTACAAAACAGTAGTCTACACTATGCTGCTGGAGGGATGTCACAAATGCCTCCTGTTTCTGGGCAACTGGAACAGACCCTGAGTATGTGCTGAGGACAAAAGTAAAAAGGAATTAGGGGTTAAACAATTTATTTCTCAGTCTCTGTAAAAGTGAACAGAGCGAGAACAAGAATTCCAAAACTGCCTCCTGTTTCTAAAGCAGTGAGGGTCCACTTCCCACTGCTTGGTATCAGTGATTTCCTTGAGCAGTCCTTCAATCTAATAAACAATCACAGTAAAAATGGTCTCACATAGTTTTTCCTTGTTTTCACCAAATATAGCACATACAAAGTATGTGCTAATTGGCTGTCTAGGTTGTCAGTCAACAATCTGGGGTGGGAGAACTCCAAAGTTACATGTGACTGGGCATAGTGGCTACCTACACCTTCAATCCTAGCACTCAGGAAGCAGAATCAGGATCTCTGTGAGTTCCAGCTAGCCAGGGCTATGTAGCAACACCTTCTCTTGAAAAACCAAAAAGGTTCCATGTGGATTTAAGGCAAGGGGTGGGAGCCTACCTCCTTAACTCCTGATCCCTCACTTAAATTGCTTAAGGTAAATAGTAAATAGTTTCATCAAGTATCTAGATTAGCAATTACAACTACCAACTTGCAGTAGTGTTTATGACAACTTTAGAATTATCTTCTGAGGGACAGTAGCTTCCTTAAATATTATTAGCAGGTGTTAAAATCAATTTTTATCTTTATTTTTTGAAATTACATCATGTCCCCCTTCCTTGTTTTCTTTTCAATTCATGACCTCTCTCTCTTCAGTAGTGTGTTTCTAAATATGTAAATATAATATGCTCATCCATAAAATGTAAGTTGTATGTATATGTCTTCAATCTGACCATGTGGTATTGGGTGACTCTGGGGAAGACTATTTTTCCTGCTTTCAATATTCCTTAGTTACTTGTAGTTCTTTGTCTAAGATTGAGAAGGCCTCATGAATTTTCAAAATTTGTTTCTTTTTTAAAAAGACTCTGTACTTGAATAAACTTTTAGAAAACCAAATCAAAACAATTAAAGCATTTATATCAAAGACCTTCCCAGAGCTTCAGACTGGTTTACATGCATTATAAATCCAAGAGGAAATACAGCATACTGGAGTTCTGCCTTTTTCTGGTTCTCAGTGGAACATACTGAAAACATGATCTAAGGGCCAAATCCCACTCCCAAGACCAAGTTCTGTCTAATGAATGAGTCAAAGAGCTTCTTCACTACCGAAGAATTAAAGATGTTGAATAATAACAGCATTTGTGCTATGTCTGTATAAATTAAAACACTGTTTCAGAAACTCACAAAACATTTATTTCTAAATTAAATGTGTAATCTTTTGGGAAAACCAAGGCTTGATATACAATTTGTAACTTCCCATCCTACTGGCTGATTTTTACTAAGCTAGAGAATTTTTTTTTTAATTTCCTATTCCCAATATACACCTGTACTTCACTCCATCTTTACAGTAAACTCACAGCACCTTTGGGCTGTACAGAAGGGAGAGCCCTCCTTGTGAATTCTGTGGAATATTCATTACATGCAGTTATCTGCTCTTAACATCTGTTGTGAGGTCTTAATCTGCCAGCTATGGAATCTGTGTTGGAATGGTCACATAAAGGAATCACTTTGCCATGTCAAAGTGCATGTACACACACACACAGACACACACACACACACTCATTTTTAGGAAGACAATCCACAGGTTCCAATTGGTTAAGAAATACTGGTCTACAACAACTTGCTAGAAATGTTCCTAGCAAACAGATGTTAGAGTCACAGGGATAGGTCTAAACCCAATAGAGATCTCCATTACAAGTTATTTCTTTTTGTCATTGTTTTTGCTACTTTTGTTTTTATTTTTGAGACAGGTCTTACTACATATTGGCAATCCTCCTGCATCTGCCACCTGAGTGCTGGGATGACAGAAGTGTATCACTACATCTGACTCACAACAGTAAAAGGATGCCCCAGCTCATAATTATTCAGGTGCAGTAATAAATTCAAACATAGACACCATGATATCCAAACCTGTAGGAAAAGCATAATCTATCTACATGACAAGTAGCTCCTATTCAATTAGGTAAAAGGTGAAATGCCAGCATTCTCAAAAACTGAAGGCAAAAGAGGGGCCAATAGCAGACAGTTCTTGGAAGATGCTTCCCAAGGGTGGTAGCAACAGATCCATAAATGAAAACAGACTAGATGATTAATAGTAACCAAATTATTTTCATGATTTAGATAAATATTCATAATGAAGAAATAAAAAAGGTACAGACGTCTTAAATGATATACTGGCTTAGAAATGGGGGAATGAAGAGACAAGGGGAAGGAGAAACACAATTTTATTAAGATAAAAGACTGATTGTGGTGTCTTACAACTTTAATCCCAACACTCTGTGAGTTCCCAGTTCTTGGTGAGTTTGAGACCAGCCTGGTCTACAAAGCAAGTTGAAGGAGAGCCAGGGCTGCATAGTAAAAACCGGATTCACAAACAAACAAGTAAATAAAAAAAGAAGGTTAGGGATACAACAGCCTTCTAATCTTAAGAGATGTATGTGTATATGAATCTCTGTGTTTGTAAGGACACTTTTGTGTGTGCAGGTGACTGTGGAGACCAGAAGAAAGCTTCAGATCGCCTGAAGCTGGAGTTACAGGTGGTTGTGACCTGCTGGATATGGGTGCTGGTAGCCAAATTCTCCAGGCCCAGCTAAATCATTTTTAATTATCTAGAGTGCCTTGGAATTTCTCAATTAGCTGCTGTGCTAGTTAATTTTATGTCAACTTGACACAGCTGGAGTCATCTCATAGGAGGGAATCTCAATTGATAAATTGCATCTAAAAGATCAGGCTGTAGTAAGTTCATACATAGGGTATTTTCTTAGTGATTGATCTGATAGGACCCAGCCCATGGTGGGTGGTGTTACTCCTGAGCTGGTTATTTTGGATACTATAAGAAAATAGGCTGGCCGGGCGGTGGTGGCGCACGCCTTTAATCCCAGCACTCGGGAGGCAGAGGCAGGCGGATCTCTGTGAGTTCGAGGCCGGGCTGGATCAATAGCCTCCAAAACAATACAGAGAAACCCTGTCTCGTAAAAACCAAAAAAAAAAAAAAAAAAGAAAAGAAAAAAGAAAATAGGCTGAAGTCAGGTGTGGTGGCACACACTTTTAATCCCAGCACTCAAGAGGCAGAGGTAGGCAGATTTCTCTGAGTTTGAGGCCAACCTGGTCTACATAATGAGTTTCAGGACAGCTAGGGCTATGTAAAGAGACCCTGTCTCAAAAAAAAAAAAAATTAGTAACAGCAACAGCAACAGCAACAAGCCATGAAGGGCAAGTCAGTGATCAGTGTCCTCCATGCCCTCTGTGTATCAGCTCTTGCCTTCAGGTTCTTGCCTGGTTTGAGTTTCTGCCTTTGATTCCCTCAATAGACTATGACTCATGTCATGTAGACCAAATAAACCCTTTCCTCCCCAAGTTGTCTTGGATCATGATGTTTCATAACAGCAATAGTAACCATAACAAAGCTAACATCTAAGAAAGGTAATTTTCCTTCAAAATGTGAACTGTATTTGGTGACTATGAAATCCTGAGCAAAGTTACTAGATCTTAGTCTAAAATTGTAAGTCACTAGATTACAGTCCAAGCTATGGTTTTCAACCTTTATTTTGGCTTTGGGAGCCTATAAGTCAGATTTAACAGATAAGGAAGTGGGACTTCTATTCAGTAGACATGCATTGAGTAGAGAACAGTAAGAAAGAAGATATAATGGAGGCTCCAGTGTTAACCCACTAGTAAATATACACAAAAAGCAATGTTGGAAACAAAGGATAATCAGCTGGGAGTGGTACCTCACAACTGAAATTCTAGCACTTGTGAGATAGAGGCAGGAGGATTGCTGTTAAGTTCCAAGCCATCTTAAGAGAGACACTACCCCCAAAACAAACAAAATATAACAACACCCACCATCCAAAACAGGGGGGTGCGCACTGAAAGATGGCTGAGCAGGTAAAGGAACTTGCTGTCAAGCCTGGAAACCCAAGTTTAATTCCTGGAACTTTAAGTGACTCCCTCAAGTTGCTCTCTGATCCCCGCATGCACACATACCCCCAAACAAATCAACAGACAAGTAAATGTGGTTGTAAGAAAACTATGTAGACAAAAGAAATACAGAATAGTGCAGCAACATGTAATTAACTATGAAGGACTGCATTTTGTCCTTTAATTTGTTCAGTCATTTTCACAGTCTGCTCTTGGCAGAAGATGAAGTACCATTCACACTCAATGACACCTCTGCCAGTGCCTTTTAGAACTAAGTCTTAGATTAAGGCTGGTCCTATTGTTTTAGGGTATAAAAGCTCCTAAATCCTGTCAATCTCTTGGCTTTCTCATCAAGTTTGACCTCACTATTAGAGATTAGGTGAGAGGTGCTTGCATGGTCCCATGAAACTGGATGGTGTGTAGACTGATCTCTTTTCTGGCTCACTGGTGCATTTTAATCTGTATGTGACTGCTGCTACCAGGTTGTTTACAGGGAAAACAGCTCACTGAGGAAACTGACTGTGTTGCTTTCTTCTATCTCTTATTCCAATGGGTTATGAATACTGGCCAAGTAATAAAAAACAGCAAAGTGGGCTTATATAAGAAAAGGGCGCCAGACTGTGGTGGCACATGCCTTTAATCACAGCACTCAGGAGGCAGAGGCAGATGGATTTCTGTGAGTTCAAGACCAGCTAGTCTACAAGAGCTAGTTCCAGGGCAGCCTCCAAAGCCACAGAGAAACCCTGTCTCGGAAAAAAATAAAAGAAAAGGGAGGGGGACTGGATAGCTGGCTTAGCAGTTAAGAGCACTGACTCCTTTTCCAGAGGAACCAGGCTCAATTCCCAGCACCCACATGGCAGCTCACAATTGTCTGTAACTCCAGTTCCAGAAAATCCAACACCCTCATACAGACATACATGCAGACAAAACACCAATGCACGTGGCATAAAAATAAAACAGAAAACAAAGCAACAACAAAAAAAAAAAAAGAAAGAAAAAGAAAAAGAATAAAAGATTTCTTAGACGCTCTGAGAGGGAAGCCTGACAAGGGGTGGCTGCAAGCCTGTGCTGGCATGCTTCTGTACATGTCTAAGAACTTCCACAAAGTGTCTAGTGTGCGTTTGGAATTAGGGCACAGTGAAACAGGATTTGGTGGGTTAGAATGTCTGGTGAGTGTTCATGAGATTCTGCAGACTGATGTGCTGTCTGCCTCTTCAGTAAAGAAGGCAAATGAACTCACACAGATCCTCCTGAGCCTGCCTCCTAAGTAAGTGCTAGGATTAAAGGCCTGTGTCACCACAACTACCCAAAAGTTGACTGTCTTATTTGTCCTTAAAGACACCACCAACCACCCTTTTGAGGACCACCACCATGGAGAAGACCCACATGGGGCAGCAAACAGAGCCTCTTACAATGCTTTCTTTTCCTAGGGAGCATACCCAATATCTTGTTGAAAATTGAGATTTTTTAAAAATTAATCCTGAAGGAACATATTTTAAAATTTGAATATAAATTAGAGTCAACACTGTACCTTAATTGGACCTGCACTGTGAAATCACATTTGGTCCCAGAAATATCCCTGAAATAGAATAAGAATAAAAATTATTTAAAAATATATACATGAAGACATTTCATTGCATTCCTAAACACCAGAAATGTCAACAGTGCCCATACTTGTGTGTGTGCTTACACATTTACTATAGCTGGTCCTGGGTTTACCCCAAACTGCAGGTCAGATGGAAGGTGACTTACATGGAGCTGCTGATCTGCTGCACCTGTTGTGGAGTCAAGGCAAATGCAAAACAGGTTTCCCGAAAGCGCTGGCTGTTGTCTGACGCTGAAGAAGAAAAGAGTTACATTTTAATAACCTTGAAGTTCATCAGAACAGAAGACAATAGCCAGAACCACATTGTTCATTAACTGGAGTACATCCTAGAGACCAGACACTGAGAATTAACAAATATGCTAGATATAATATATCAGACAGAAAGATACAGAGAGGCCTAATTCCAGAAATAGCACATTAGAATTCAAATTGAGAGTGCATAGCAAAAAGTTGTCTAATTATATGCATATTTCTCTAACAGCATACTGACACTAATTTTAAATGTAATTATATAAGCTCATTTAAATATACATAGTTTCTAAGCTAAGAAACAAATGTACCTGCTTTGAGATCTGCACAGGTGAAATTGCATTTTGGGTTTTTTTGTTTTTTGTTTTTCTTTTTTTTTTTTTTTTTTTTTTTTTCGAGACAAGGTTTCTCTGTGGTTTTAGAGGCTGTCCTGGAACTAGCTCTTGTAGACCAGGCTGGCCTCGAACTCACAGAGATCCATCTGCCTCTGCCTTCTGAGTGCTGGGATTTGGTTTTTTAAAGTAAATAAAAACCTTTGTTGCCTCCTGTTTATATTAGGCTTGTTTGTTTTGAAATAGGGTCTTGCCACAATGTCATGTAGCCAAGGTGAGCTTCAAACATTCTCCTCCTGTACCTAGATCCTACACACTGAGATTATAGGTGTATACCACCACGCCTACACAACAGACACATGTTATACAATATCATATACAGTTTCTCTTATTCTTGGATGAGTTGACCTTTCAAAGACGGAACAAGGTATAAGAGAAATACAAGAACAAAGAACGAAAAGAATGGAGGGAGAGAGGAGAAACGAGACCAACAGATGGCCAGGTAAGCACTTGTCATTGTAGAACAGGGATCCCCCAACTATGCTGAGATCAACAACAGATCCCACCACTTTCCAAGAGATTTAGCCACACAGAAGTGAAAACATACAGTGTCTGGGTGTCAAACACGGAATGACTATTTGCTGAGTAAATAAATAAATTACAAACATTAAGAAATAAATATCAGGCCTGGAGGCATGGCTTCATTGGGAGGTTGCTTGCTAGCAAACTGCAGTACCACATGGACTGGGTGTGGTAACACACATGAGTAATCTCAGTACTCAAGAGGAAATGTTGGTTATTTAACTACATATGGAGTTTAAGGTCAGCCTGGGCTCCATGAGGTCCTGTCTTTCAGGGGAAAAATAGAAACAATTTTTCCAATGTAATTCCCTACAACAAAAAAATCACTAAGAGTTATTACCAAGGAATTCTTGGCTGTGGGCTATCTAACACTACAGAGAAGCTAATTGCTGGTTAATTTCAATCTCTTGCTTAACTGGGTTTGTACTCTTGCAAGCAGAACTTAAACCACCTCAATTGTAGCATGCCTCATCGAAAAATCTGCACAACTACCACTATGAGAAAAAGCAATGGAAAAGAGCACGGGTCTAAAATTACATCTCAGTGTAGGAGCAGCATTTTTTAAAGGCTAGATTTGCATTTCTACTTCATGTGTGGGGAGAGGCTTTTTCTTAAAGAATCTATCACCAGGGAATGGTTGCTAACCAGAAAAAAGTTATTGTGATTTTAAGTGACAACCTGGCAATGACCAATAGCCAAGACAGCTTGCAGGAAAGCAAACACTGCCCTCTGTCAGCAACCCAAGCAGCTAGCTTTCTTTCTCAGAGGGTTCTACATGGAGATTTTATTTATTTATTTATTTTTGCCCAGCAGCCTGGCCTAATTTAAATCTATGGCTCTGCTCTAAAACAGTGCTAAAATAATCTCCCAAGAACACAAATTCATATTATTCACAAGGCAAAAAGTTAGATTCATTTTCAAATACTTGACTATTGTGAAGTTTCAGATGTGTACAGATTTAGAAAGACAAGTTGATTGCTAAAACAGCATGGCTGTTTCTTCCATCCTACGATGATTTAAAATCTGCAATACCCACTGGTGCCATAAAGCACTGGCCTAATCTAATTATCCAAAATAGCCATTTTTCAAACTATCAGAAAACATGGCCACCTTCTCCCTCCCCATTAGGCATTTCTCAACATACCCTAGGCTGTGACACTAGATTAAAAGGCCTTCATACCTGAACACACTTGTTCATAGCATTCACTTTTTGTTCAAAAATATCTGCAGCCAGGGCTGGAGAGATGGCTCAGCATTAAAGGCTAGGCTCACAATCAAAATAAATGCAGCCCCTCTGCACTGGCCCAACTCTGTGGGAGGGTCATACTGCCTGTGAAGTGAAGCAGCCTTCTAAGTTTCACCACATCTCTTGCCCTCTACCTTGATCCCAAGCGGCAGACCAAGAAGCATAACCACAGCCAGTAACACAGGGAGGGAGAAGCAAGCCTCAGTTGTCAGCCACTGACATGTGTCACTTTTTGATACTACAGGTGGACAATGACCAGAACACTACAACTACTAACAGTTATCATCACTGTTTATTATTTGGGACAATTTCTGATAATCTTTGAGTTTATACGTTAGCTTTGAGAAAAAAGGAAGCTGCTTCTTTTTTGTCAATCAACCCAAAGTTGCATGATTTCATGGTGAGAAAAGTATGTCCATGGACTGCAGAGATGATTCAGTGGGTATCAGTGCTTGCAGGACTTGGTTTGGAGTCCCAGAATCCATGTAAAAAGTCAGGCATGCTGATATGCTGTTGGCACACACCTGCAATCCCAGAGCTGAGACAGACATTAATGATCCCTGGAGCTTGATGATCAGCCTGCTCAGCTGAAGGAGGAAGCTTCAGGCTCAGTGGTAGACTCTCAAACAAGGTGGAGGGCAACTCTGTCTCTCTCCCTGCCCTCCCAATCCCAAAGAATTCATGAATCTAAGAGTATTGAGTAGCTGTGTTAATACAACAGATCACAACAGTTTATTCATCTAGAAATTACCCTTAGTCTGGTCAGCAAATGAGTTGCTGCTAATTTAATGTATAATTCTCAGTAACTACTTAGCTTAATTTACATTTATTTTTTTTCTATGCTTGCTTTTGCTAAACTTTTTATTTTGTCTAGTCTTATTCTGTGCCTATTTATAGGTGAAAATATTAAAGTCCTTGGAAATTTGCTACAAATATTTCTTAGAGTCTGATAATGCCCTTCCACCATTTTGGCTTCATTTTTGGATGGTACAAAAGTTAAATCTAAGAGCAGTAGAGATGGCTAAGTGGTTAAGAGCACTGGCTGTTCTTCCAGAGGTCCCAGATTGGATTCCCAGCTCCCACATGGTAGCTCACAATAATCTGTAACCCCAGTGGATCTGACACCTGCACATAAAATAAAGTTGAATTATTAAAAAAAAGAAGTTATATCTGGGCCAGAGAGATGTCTCAGCAGTTGTAAGTGCTTGCTGAGCAAGTCCAATGATATGATTGGATCTCCAGAAACTATGCAAAAGCAAAATGTGGTAGTGCATGTCTGTAGCCCCAGCATTCCTGTGATAAGATGGAAAGTGGAGCCAGGAGAATCTCCCAGAAACTCCAAGGCCAGCTAGGCTGGAAAACACATGCAGAAGCAAACAAGAAGAGGGACCCTGCCTCAAACAAAGCAGAGGGTGAGAACTCACATCAGAGATTGTCCACTGACATCCACGAGCGACACAACACACATGTGCCTTCATACATGAACATGTCTACACATATATCATACAAACAAAAATTAATGAACAAATATTTTAAATGAATTTACATAGCTTACTCTATTAGCTATCTCCTTTGTAAATTCTTACGCTAATTATGATCAGTACATCAATTATTTTGTTGTTTCTATAAATTTTACACATTTGAAACTTATTTTAGTATATATTAAAAAGTTAAAATTCTATTACTTCAAATTGCTTGCAGCTTTGCTAAATAATTCAGACTTTCAAGCTAGACATGATGACACATGCCTTTAATCTCAACATTTGGGAGGCAGAAGTAGGCAGATATCTTTGAGTTCAGGGTCTGACTGGTCCACGAGAAAGTTCCAGGATAGCCAGGGCTATGTAAAGAGAAGCTGCCTCAAAGAAACAAACAAACAAAAAACCAGAATTGTACTTGTTTACAGGTCTGTATGCTTGTTTGACACATATTAAGATATTTACACTCAAGTTACTTTGTTTTTTTAAGCTATTTTTTCACTAACCACTTCTCTGCATTCAAACTTGTGATCCTCTTGCCTCAGCCTCTCCAGTGCTGGGGTTTCAGGCAGGTATGTCCATGCCCAGCTTCCACTGCTCTTTTACCTTGGTACTAGAATACCACTTTTAATTCCATAGCTTATTATGCTTTGGTACCTCATCATTAGGTTTCTCCATATCCATTTGTTACAAGACAGGGTTTCTCTGTATTGTTTTTCCAAAGGCTCAAATACATAGTCATCTAGATGGATTTCCAAGTATTACGATAGTTTGGGGCTGTAGTGTGTATATCCATGTGGAGGCCAGAAGACAATGTTGGATATCTTCCATTTGCTCTCTACCTTCATTCTCTTGGGTCTCTCAAAGAGCCTGAAGCTCACTAGTACAGCAAGGCTGGTTGGTCAGAGAAACCCTGGGATCCATCTGTCCCCAGCCCCATTGCTGTGTTATAGGCAGGTACAGCCACTGTGGCTTATTTCTGTAAACACTGGGGATCCAAACTCAGGTCCTCAGGCCTGCAGAGCAAGTGCTCTTACCCACTAATCCATCCTCTGAGTCCTATAATGGCAATAACCATTAACTTTTTAAAGACAGAGTCTACTGTGAAGACCAGGCTAGCCTTGAACTCAGAGATCAGCCTGCCTCAGCCTCCTGAGTGCTGGGATTAAAGGAGAGAGCCACCATGATGACTATTATTATGACTTTTAAAGCCCACATTATATTTCAAGTAGAATTACTATAAAACCTACAACTTAATCTTTCTATCCTGGAATATTATACCTGTATCCACTGATCATAATCTCAAGCTTTTATTTTCATCATATAGCTATACAGTGTTCACAA